TGATTAGCATGCACAAAGCCCTAGATTCCTGTTTACAGCTAGAGAAAGAGAGAGAGAGAGAGAGAAAAAAAACTAGTCATTTAAAAAATAGTAAAAGCGGGGCGTCGGTGGCTCATACCTGTAATTCTAGCTACTCAGGAGGCTGAGATCTGTGGATCACGGTTCAAAGCCAGCTGGGGTAGGAAACTCCATGAGATTCTTATCTCTAATAAACCACTAGAAAACTGGAAGTGGCGCTGTGGCTCAAGCAGTAGAGCGCTTTCCTGGAGCTGAAGAGCGCAGAGAAAGTGCCCAGGCCCAGAGTTCAAGCCCCACGACAGACCAAAACAAACAAACAAACAGGAAAAGCCGGGCACTGATGGCTCACTCCTGTATTCCTAGCTACTCAGGAGGTTGAGATCTGAGGTTCCCAGTTCAAAGCCAGCCCGAGCAAGAAAAGTCCAGGAGACTCTTATCTCCAATTAACCACCAGAAAACAGGAAATGGAGCTGTGGCTCAAGTGGTAGAATGCTCACCTTGAGCTGAATTGCTGAGGAACAGTACCCAGGCCCAGAGTTCAAGCCCCACAACTGACTGAAAAAAAAAAAAAAAAAAGACAGTGAAACACTTTGCTGGCAAAGTGGCTCACGCCTGTAATCCTGGCTACTTGGAAGGCAGAGCTTGGGATGATCAAGGATTGAGGCCAGCCAGGGCAAAAGTGTACAAGATTCCTTCTCTGTCAATAAAAGGCTGGGTGCTGTAGTACATGTTACATAGCCATCATTCCAGCTACATAGAAGCATAAATAGGAAGATTGGAGTCCAGGCTGGCCCTGACATAGAAAAGAACCAAAGTGAAAAATACTGGGGTGGTGGTGGGGGGCTGGCTTAGGTGGTCAAGAGCCTGCCTAGCATGGGCAAAGGCCTGAGTTCAAACCATATACTACTGCCAAAAAATAAAAGTAAGTACATAAGCCTTACCAAGCTGAGCTGTTCTAGACCTGTCCTAGACCTTTTTTTTTTTTGTCTTCGGTTGTGGGACCTCAAGTCTGGGCCTGGGCTCTGTCCCTCAGCTCTTCAGCTCAAGGCTAGCACTCTACCACTTGAGCCACAGCGCCATTTTCATCTTTTTCTGCTCATTTGGTGCTGAAGAATCGAACCCAGGGTCTCATGCATGCAAGGCAAGCGCTCTTCCCAGCCCCCATTCTAGCACTTTTTAACTGCTGATAGGCTTCCTGTCCCCTTGAGGGTGGCCAAAGACATCATTTATCCCATGATTATGTAGTGCGCGCTGGTTGTTGCCAGGCCCAGGTTGCCTCTGTGAAGCTTGGAGAGGTGCGTTCCCGAGGTTCTCTCTAACAGGAGTACCTTCTGTTAGAGGACTTTCAGGTTCACCTTTAGAAATGCTGAAAGTGACTCAAGTATCTGCGTTCAGGAGGAATTCCTCCTTGCCTATGGTAAGCTGATGTTTTATTAAAAAGGCTGGCTGTGTGATGCTGTAAGATGCCTCTTCCACAATAGGCCTTTTACCTAAGTAGATTTCAGGGCCTCCAGCTCTCACTCAGATTTTGTGCTCACAGCTAATGATCTGATACTTGAGTCATGCCTGCAGTTCCAGTTTTAGGGGTTTTGTGTTTTCTTCTGCTAATTGGACATAGAGTCTAAAGGCTTTGCCCACAAACCTCCAACTCAGCCTCCTGAGTTGCTAGGGTTACAGCTGTAAGCTACAGCACCTCATATGTATTTGTTTTTTTTTTTTTGGGGGGGGGGGGGTCCGGTCGTGGGCCTGAACTCTGGGCCTGGGCACTGTCCCTCAGCTCTTCAGCTCAAGGCTAGCACTCTACCACTTGAGCCACAGTGCCACTTCTGGCCTTTTCTGCTTATGTGGTGCTGAGGAATCGAACCCAGGGCCTCATGCTTGCAAGGCAAGCGCTCTACCACTGAGCCACCTTCCCAGCCGCAACACCTCATATGTATAAAGCACCCAACTTCCTTTATGCCTTTAAAGTCTCATTTGCATGGTCAGTTCATTTAGGAAACCAATTTAATGTTTCAGAGATGGTTGCAAACAAGAAAGTTTCATTTACTATCTCAGCTTCCTATCTGGAGAGTGAGTAGAATTTTTTCTCCACTGTTCCTTCTAGGAGATCTCCAAAATGTATCTAAAATCCTTTGGCCAAAACCGGAGGCACCATGGCCTGTGTTTTTTGTTTTTCTGATTCAGAGGTTGATGGACACTGGCTGGGAGGTGGAAAAGCTGCAGCAGGAAGGAGTGGGTGGGGTTAACACTTCTGGGAGTCATGTGGTCTCTGCTTGAGGCAAGTCCTGAGAGCTGTGCCTTGCCCTGCTCCTTCATTGCAGGGGTTGTGGTCTTAGAGGTTCTATTTGTAATGGAGGCTTGACTAGCCAGGTGCTGGTGGCTCACACCGATGATTAATTCTAAACTACTCTGGGGGCTAAGATCTGAGGATCACGGTTCAAAGCCAGCCTAGGCAGGAAAGTCTATGAGATTCTTATCACCATTTAACTGCCAGAAAACTAGAAGTGGTGCTGTGGCTCAAGTGGTAGAGCACTTGCCTTGAGCTGAAGAGCTCAGGGACAGCACCCAGACCAAGTTCAAGCCCCGCGACCAACCAGAAAAAAAGGGAGGCTTTACTGTCTTTGCATCTGATTGACCACATCCAGCGTTGGAGTCATCGTAAGTACAGCAGGAGGCAGTGGGGGAGGCAATCAGTGATGCTTGCCAGGAGATCAGGGTGTTAAAATCTCATTCCACGTCTCCTGCATGTGGATTGGGCCCATGGCTCTGTCACTTAGAGTTGCAAACAGTAAGCCAAGAAGTTTCTGCTTCACTGCTGTAGTCACAGCTCTGCAGAGAGCATCTGTATCCACCTGCAGTTTCCTTTAGCCATATATGACAGGCCTGGCCATGGTTTGTTCCCTTGTACTTGGAGCCCAAAGGCTCCAGGGCTGTTGTGCTGTTCTAACCCATCATCATAGCTGCTTGCGCTGCATGCAGAGTGCAGGGCTGGTCCCTGTGCCGTTCCCCGTTCTCTCTCTTTCTGTAAGGAAAGGGCTTTTGAGTTGATGAGTTTCCCCAGTTTTTATGTCCTTAGCCTGACCCATTTTTTCTAAAGGTTAGGCTATTAGGGCTGTATTACAGGGTAAGGATTACTTGTGCAAATTAGCTGAAACCCTGCCAAACCTGTAACTACCTTCTTTTATATTTGCACTCCGTAAGCCTGAAACTTCATGTAGGGAAACCACAGCAAGCTACCTGCAGCAGACTCGCTCGGTGAATGAGCAGGCCAGGTCTTCCATAGTAGGCAGCTAGCTGCCATTCTCACCTTCACCTGTTACCCTCTGATGGTGCAAGTTAAAAATTCCATGTCAGTAATTGTCCTGCCTTTGCTGTCAAGAATATCATTTTTTAAAAGCTTCCTTTTGGTGACTGCTGCCCTTGTCCCAAACCATATGTTTCCCATGGCTCAGTAGCCATGGATACCATCACTTAGGAACAAATGTAGGCTCAGTGGCTACAGTTATCTATAAAAGTAGCCAGCTTTAGGACATGCTGAGTGGTGTAGGCCTGACCATATCTCTTGACTCTCATTTGATGAGCAGATTGTCAGTCATCTTGTATGGTAACACTGCCATAGTTTATAATGCTTCCAAATTCCTGATTCCCAGGGGTTTATGAGACATTTTCTACTGTGCACTGAGCTATGACAGACTCAACTCCAGTTTTCCTCTGCCCTGAGCAAGTGAAAGGATATATGTGGTTGAGTGTTGAGAACCGGTGGATGAGCGGGAAAGGAAGTCATGTATAACAGTGATTTCTCTTGAGAAATGTTCTGACTTTTGGTGGTGTTTCTATGTTCTATTTCTTGAAACAAGAAGATAGACTTAAGCTGAGGAGTTTGGGAGGGCTCTATGTGTATTGCACACCTGTAATCTCCAGCTGCTAGGGAGACAGAGATTGGGAAGATTTCAGCTGGAGGCCAGCCCGGGCAAAAAGTTAACAAGATCCCCATCTCAACCAGTAAGACAGGTATAGTGATGAGTGCCTGTAATCACAGCAACACAGAAGGCATCAGTAAGAGGATCACTGTCTGAAGCTGGCCCTAGGTAAGCTTGCGACTGAAAAATGAAGCAAAATGAGGCTGGGAGTATGGCTCAAACGAGATCGTGAGTTCAAATCTTTGTACCACCAAAACGAGCTCTGCAGCTTGTGGGCAGAGGGAGGAAAAAATTGGGGGAAAGCAAAGGAAGGGGTGATATTGCCCAAAAAGAAATGTACTCATTACTTGACTAATGAAATGGTATCCCCTCTGTAAAACACCTTAATAATAACAAAATTAGAGAGAGAGAAAGAAAAGAAAAGAAAGAGAAAGAAGCTCACACCTGTAATCCTACCTACTCATGATGCTAAAATCTGAGGATAGTGGTTCAGAACAAGCCCAGCCAGAGCAGTCCATGAGACACTTATCTCCACCAAATTACCTAAAAGCTGAAAGTGGAAGTGGAGCTGTGGCTTGAGATATTATGCTAGCCTTGAGCAAAAGAAGCTCAGAGACAACTCCCAGGCCCTAAGTTCTAGCTCCGGACTGGCACAGAAGAAAAGGAAAGTTTGGAGCCAGGCACTGGCAATCCTAGCTACTCAGGAGGCTGAGATTTGAGGATCGCGGTTCAAAGCCAGCCCGGGCAGGAAAGTCTGTGAAACTCTTATCTCCAATAAAACCACAGAAAAATGGAAGTGGCGCTGTAGCTCAAGTGGTAGAGCGCTAGCCTTGAGCTGCAGAGCTGAGGGACAGTGCCCAGGCCCAGAGTTCAAACCCCACGACTGACAAAAAAGAAAGAAAAGTTTGGGATGGTTGATATTCTGTTTTGAAAATGTTAAGCCTTTTTCAAAGTCCAGCTAAACCAATGGATAGTTTCTAAAGTTCTGCTGTGGCGAGACCTCTAGTACAGTTTGGTATGTGCAGTCTGGCTCAGACCCTTCTTGTGTCTGTTTTCTGCCAGTGCTTGGATCAAAGTGGAACAGCTAAAGCCCTACCATGCTCATAAAGAGGAAATGATAAAGATCAACAAGGGCAAACGGTTCCAGCAAGCTGTGGATGCTGTTGAAGAGTTCCTCAGGAGAGCCAAAGGGAAAGACCAGGTGAGAGACACTGCACTTTCCTCTGACACCAGACTGGGAATTGTGCATAGCTCCGAAATACGAAATGTCACCAGACCACAACTCCGTTCTTATGAGATGCCTGGAGAGAGAGGAATGGGCTCTAAGGTGCCAGTCTCAGCTTGCAGTCCCATGCCTGCACCCACCTTTCTGAGGAGCTTGTTGCTATTAGGAGGAACAGCGTAGCTCAGCTTTCGAGTGTGGCCCAGAGCTTAGGAGCAGCCTCTGGGACTGTACCCTGCCCACCTTGTAGCTTTGGGTCTGTGGACAGTGACTTGGTTCCCCACCCCCACCCCCCCAATGCAGGAGGGGTGAGCAAGGACCCTGTTCCGTAGAGTGACCGTGAGCATTACTCACAGAAGTTCCTATAGCAATGCGCAGCCGTGGCGGTGGCGTGGCGGCAGCGCAGCTGTAGTAGTGGTTATCATTATTATTATTGAACTTTCAGACATCATCCCACACTTCTGCTGATGACAAGAGTCGGCGTAATTCCAGTGAGGAGAGAAGTAGGCCAAACTCAGGTGATGAAAAGCGCAAACTTAGCCTGTCTGAAGGGAAGGTGAAGAAGAACATGGGAGAAGGAAAGAAGAGGGTGACTTCAGGCTCTGCAGAGAGAGGCTCCAAATGCTCTCTGAAAAGAGCCCAAGAGCAGAGTCCCCGGAAGCGGGGTCGGCCCCCAAAGGACGAGAAGGTTTGTCTTACTACGTAGCTTCCGGGACTCCTGAATTCCTTCTGTGCCAGGTAGAGCTGGGCTCTGAGTGTGCTTCCGCTCACCCAGTGGGCACTGAGTCCTAAGGAATCCTGCAGCCCAGATGGAGGTGGACATACAGGTGCCACAGGAACAGGAGGCAGAGCGCCCCCCCATCCCGAGCTGTAGCCAGCTGAGCGGGCATGTAGGCCGTGGAAAGACTAGCAAGAATGGAGGGAGGAGGGCATAGCCAAGAGAGGCGCGTGTTGGTGTGAATGTCTTCGCACAGGTGGAGGACTGGAGGTGAACGATGGACAAGGCAGGTTGGCCCTGGATTGTAGAGAGCCTAGGGGTCAAGGTGGCTCTGCACCAAGGTGTGCTTTAGTTGATCCTGGGGGAAGAGAAGAGGGGCTTGACGGCAAGCACTCCTAAAGGAGTGTGTGAGGTGCCTGTTGGAAGAAGCCTCCCCACAGGCATGGAATGTGAAAACAAGGGAAGCGGTCATTTCAGGCTCCACTCCTGGGGAAATGGTGGTGATTGCCTCTGGCGGGCATGGAGTCCTTGGGTCAGAAAGTGGAGCTGGCTCAAGGAAGAGAAGAGAGCTGTTTCTATGGGGTTCTGTTGTTTGTAGTGCTGGGGATGCAGTCCAGGACTGTGTGCAAAAACTAGGCAATCACTGTTCAGTGGAGCTGATGTGCCCCAGCCCTAGTTTTCTGGATTTTTGTATTTGTGTTTGTTTGCTTTTTTGTTTGTCTCTGGTAAGGCTTGAGCTCAGGGCCTTGGCCTCACAGGACCTTTTTGCTCACAGCTTGCATTCTACCACTTAAGCCACATCTCCAGTCCTGCTTTTTTGCTGATCTGCTGAGGCTGGCTTTGAACCCTAATCCTCCAGATCTAGGCCACCTGAGTACCTAGGATTATAAGTGTGAGTCAGCTGTGTCTGGCTCCAGTTATGTTTTAAATGTAATGAATTTCAGGCAAGCTGTAGATCAGACTGAAGGTTCAGGCTAAGGAGGTGAGACTGGAAAAGGATGGGTGAACCCAGAGACTTCTGAGTTTGTGTGGAGAAATGAAGAGGGGAAAGCAGGGCAGTGGCCTCCTGTAGAGAAAGTGTGTGGTCGGGTTTGGTAGACTGGAAGCTACACCAGATGGAATCAAGTGGGATTGGCATATCTCTTGCCTTCTTGCTGGTAGTACCTGGGTCCAGTCTCAGAAGAATTTCAAGATGAAAGAAAAGAGGGGGTTTGGAGAGCGCAGGGCCTATCAGCAGCAGCAGGACAGAGGCAGCAGAAGCCAGATGGCTGGTGGGAGCAGTGGGGGATAAGGCAGGCAGTGGAACCCTCTGGAGCGGCCTGTGCAGGCACAAGGGTCTCGAGTGTGTGTGGAAAGCAGGAGGCTGACTGCAGCTGGGGTCTGGCCAGGTCCTGTTCTGGCCAACAGAGGACAGGTTGTCTGGTTTTCCTCAAGAGACACTAGGGAGACATATTTGTGTGTGAAACATTCTAATTTTAGATGTTGGAAGCTAACTCAAATTTAAAATCACTTGTATGTCTGCTGCAGTATCCCTGTGCTTGTGCTCAGCCTGTGGCGGCCTCTGTGTGGTCCCTTCCTGTACAAGGTCCTTCCCACTGTCCTAAGAAGAAGAGGGCCTCCCCTCTTCTGACCAGGAGGAGTTTAGAAACTTGCATACCTCGGAGTACGGGGAGCTTAGACAGCAACATGGCTCAGCCTGACTCAAAAAAGTGTGATCTGACTTTTGAACTTATTTCCTTGGGGTCCTTAAGAAATTTGGGTTGTGAGGTTCTGCCCACTAAATTCATTCTGTCTTAAAGCAAGTATCGCACATACTTCTGCCTGCCTCCCTCTGGAGAGAAGCATCCTCCTTTTGGATGAAGGGAAGTCCAGAGGAGAAGTTAGGATGAGGGCCCTGGTTTGGATTGCTAGCTGGAGCCAGAGATGACCTTGGCTGAGTTCCTAGCCTTGGTTTCCTCATCTGATGATGGTGCCTTGTGAGTTTGCTATGAGGACTGGGTGTGTCCTCAGGCAGAGGGTAGAGCAATGTGAGGCTCCTTGTCCAGACCCGCCAGGGCTAATTGTGTAGTGAGAGTGAGTGGCTACTTCAGGGGAGTTGCCAAGTCCCTGCCTGAGTTTGCTTCTAGAGGCTTCTCTTCAAGCTTCCAGTGAAAAGCACTTGGCCTTTGGGGCTGAGTTATTCATTTGGAGGGTAGTAACATGAAGCCAGGCTTAGTCCAGAAGTTCTAGCTGCTGTTGCCTCTTTATGGGGACCCTTCTGCACGGACTTTGTGCCTGGCCTTGGCTGCCCGTGAAAGGGCAGGATAGAGCTTGGCTGGAGGTGCGGAACAGTTGCTTCAGCTCAGCACCTGCAGATGCGTGAGGAAGTTTGTGCCTGGCACTGGAATTGCAGTGTGTCTTCCAACCTGATCTATGCTGAAGCAGGGAGGGAGAGGAAGAGGAAGTGGAAGAAGAAGAAGAAGAGGAGGAGGAGAAGGAGAAGGAGAAAGAGAGGTGGGGGGGCATAGTGACGGGTTATTTGACTGGCAAACTCCTTTCAGAAGCAATGCAGCATGGGCTGGTAGCTGGGCAGAGTCCCAAGTAACTTCCTTCCCTATAGAATCTTCTGCCTCTGGAGATAATGGAAAAGGTGACCTTGGTCTTAGAGGTGTCAGCTTCACCAATCAGTGACACAGGTTTACCAGCCAGGCACCCTGCTCACACCTCTCCCTGGAGTTCCTCTTCCTAGTGTCCATAGCTCAGGGCTACAACTCTATAGGAGTTACCTGGTCAGGCCTGCGGCTCTCCTAAAATTTTGAACTTCTACCAAGAGAGGCAGAGAGCCGCAGTCTTCTTGGTTCTGGCCTGAGGACTGTGCTCTTCTTATTTCCATTGTGCCATCCCTAGAACTACACTGGTGACTGTGTAAATGTAAATTACCCTGAAAACAATTTAAAATTCAGTTTCACTGTCACCAAGCCTGGTGTCAGGTGCTCGGTGGTGACGTGACTGGGGCTCCTGTGTCAGACCGCACAGACACAGAGCATCTGTCACTGCAGAACATTCTTCGAGGCAGCCTTCTCTTCCCCCCAAACCGCCCTCTGTCAGATGGCCACAGCAGCACCACCACGAGCCAGATGTTGGAGAAAAAGCGTAGCTCAGCCAGTCTCTCCAGGAGGAAGTTCCATCACCTTCTCCCGAGGTTCAAAAAGGATTGAACCTCGGGGTTGGGAATGTGGCTCACAGCCCTGGGTTTGATTCCTCAGCGCCACATAAACAGAAAAGGCCGAAGTGGCAGTGTGGCTCAAGTAGTAGCCTTGAGCAAAAAAGAAGCTCAGGGGCAGTGCCCAGGCCCTGAGTTCAAGCCCCTGAACTGGCCAATAAAAAGGTTGAACCTCAACTACATGTTAGACACATAGGCCCCAGTGTGAGCTCTGGAGTAGATAGCTGGCAAAGTTTTTGCCTTTCTAGAACATGCTCCTGATGCATTAGCTCTGGAGTTGCAGTACCTGAGTTTAAATCTAATCTGCCTCACTAGTGGCCAGAGCTGCTCACAGCTCTCCACACCTTGATCATCTATAAAATGAAGACCAAAAGAGTTCTCTGTCGTGAGGTGTTGAGGGCTTCGTGAGGCCCACATTGTGAAAGCCCTGTAAGTCAGTATCATATTCTGTGGAAGGTACAGGGGGCCACTGAAATAAGTTCCCATTCAACAGAGACACAGAGCCTCTACCAGAGACATAGCCAAGGACACATCGTGCGTGCTTAGGGTACCGGGGGTCTGTGAGGGGGCAGTGGCAGGCCTTGTAGCTTCCTTCACTGTGGGACGGAAAGCTGCTTTGAGATCTGATTTATCTTTTTTTATTTTTGGCAGTATTGAAGTTTGAACCGATGGCCTTGTACCTTCTCTGTTGACACTCTGCCACTTGAACCATACTTCCAGCCTGATTTTTTGCTGGTTATGTTGGAGGTAGAGTCTCAAAGACTTTTCTGACCAGGCGTGGTTCAAACCATGATCCACCATGATCCTCAAGATCTCAGCCTCCTAAGGAGATAGGATTGACTTGACTTTTAGAAAACGACTGTCTGCTATATGGAGACTAGGTTGCAGGTGTGCAGCACAGATGCAGGGAGATTTAGTTTGACGTCAGGTAGGAGACAGGTGATGGCAGTGAGTTTGGGTGTTAGGAGTGAGGGTGGTGAGAGTCAGGGCAGGTGTGCAATGGTAGAGCAGCGGCCACCACCAGTGTGTTAGAGGACGAGGCATTAGAAAGGACTCCAGAGACCCCCCAGCCTGTGGGATGGCAGTGGTGGAGGGATCTCCGTCGCACGGAATTCGCAGAGATGTTCTAATGGAAATATTGGGGGGCCCGCTGGGGTGGGAGGGAATGAGTGGGAAGGCAGGAGCAAGGTAGAATAGCTGTGAAGAAAAAGAGTAGGGACCCCGGGCCTAGGAAGGCTGGGAGACCACCCTGGTTGTGTAAACATGGGCAGGTGCAGCAACTTCAGGCACCGAGGCTTCTTCTATAACATGTGGTGGGTTCCATATGACCCTATTGCTGCTGTCTTGCTCACCATTCACCAGGACATTTTCCCTGTGGCTCTTCACTAACACCATCCGTGTGCTGCTTAGACACATGAACATGCTTATCAAGGGTAGAGAAGGCTCACTTTGGTGTTGTATAAATGGGAAATCTGCCCTGTTTCTTCCCAGGGACTGTCAGCAGACCTATGGCTGGGGATCGACTTGAACTTGCAGGGGTGTCGTCAGGACTCAGTGGGACACAAAGGAGGGAAGTGTCCTGATGCTCTGCTTTTCCCTGTCCTCTGCAGGACCTCACTATCCCTGAGTCGAGTACTGTGAAGGGGATGATGGCAGGACCCATGGCCTCGTTTAAGTGGCAGCCGACTGCAAGCGAGGTAAGGAACTCTCCTGAGAGGTCAAACCACCTGGCAAATGGGATTACTGACTTCTGGGCATTGCCAGATAAGATTCCCTTTTCTTTTTCCCCTCTGCTTTTTGTTTTGTTGATTATAAGACACTCCAGAAGACAACAGATTAAAAAGTAAAACCAGCCAGGCACTGGTTAGCTCATGCCTATAACCCTAGCTACTGAGGAGGCTGAGATCTGAGGATCATGGTTCAAAGCCAACAGGGGCAGGAAAGTTCGTGAGACTCTCATCTCCAGTTAACTACCAGAAAACTGGAAGTGGAGCTGTGGTTCACAGTGGTAGAGTTCTAGCCTTGAACAAAAGAGCTCAGGGACAGTGCCCAGGCCCCAAGTTCAAGCCCCATGACAACAACAGCAACAACAACAACAACAAAGGAAAACCCTCCACCCTGCAGATGAGAGCTCAGTCTGCCACTCGGCCATTAGACTTGGGATTGCACACCACTATTGTTTGTGTGTGTGTGCGCGCGCGCGCGCGTGCGTGCCCGTGCCCGTGTGCACGCACGCGCACATGCTCCCAAAATTACTGAGGCTTAAACTCAGAGCCTAGACACTGTCTTTTTGTCCCTTAGTCTTTTTGCTCAAAGCTAGTGGTCTGCCACTTGAGCCACACTTCCACTTCTAGCTTTTTGCTGGTTAATTGGAAATAAGACTCTCGTGGACTTTCCTGTCCAGGCTGGTTTTGAACAGTAATCCTCAAATCCACTTCCTGAGTAGCTGGGATTGCAGGCATGAGCTGTCAGCATCCCGCACTTGGGTCACTCTGATTGTTGGAATGACACACAGAAGTGGGATCCTTCTGCTGGGTTGCGTGGGCAAATGCTGAGAGGAATGCAGCTAGCAGGCAGGAGGAAGCGGCACTAGGAAGCAGCTTGACTACATGCACTGTCTTCTGGTTTCAGCCAGTCAAAGATGCAGATCCTCATTTCCACCATTTCCTGCTGAGCCAGACAGAGAAGGTGAGTTGTTTTGAGGTTCCCACCCTGGCTCAGGCTGGCCACCAAGAGTGGCTACCTCAGCCAGAGCAACTGCCAGAGTCAGTGTCAGCCTATAAGGAAGCCACACGTGCTGCCAAGGTTCAGAATAAACCAAAAGGAAGCTAGAACCCAGCCAGCCATGTGGCTGACACATTTGAAGTTGTCCTCAGAGTCCATGGCAAGAGGAACAGACAGGATGCACTGTCAGCCGCTGTGGGGGAGCCGTGGCGACTAAGCCAACAGCAACAACCCCACATCTTGCGAGGGAAGCATTCCTAGCACCTCTTCATAGTTAGGCCGAGCCTTGCAAATGTTGCCTGGTACTCTGTGGCTCTAGGTGACCAGCTCTATAAATCTGGCATATGACTCAGTCCCTTGGAGTGCCGTGCCCCTAAGAACCTCTGAGACTTCCTTCAGTCCACAGTAAGCTTAGTAGAGCAGTAAAGGCCTGACCTTTCGTAGAATTATAATGAAGCCATTCCATTTAATACATGGTCTTTTTCCTCGCTCTTTATTAGCCAGCTGTCTGTTACCAGGCAATCACAAAGAAGTTGAAAGTCTGTGAAGAGGTATGTAGGCTCCATGCCTCCCATGTTTCTCTTAACCTGCCTCTTTGTGGGCAGGTAGATGATGTGTGCTTTCTATCCTTAGGAAACTGGCTCCACCTCCATCCAGGCAGCGGACAGCACAGCAGTGAACGGCAGTGTCACACCCACAGACAAAAAGTAAGTGCTGGCGTTAGCCTGGGGTTGGGTTCTGCCACCCCAGAGATGGCTGGGGTCAAATGGAAAGAAGCTAAAGTTGAAGACGGTAGTTGTCACACAAATCCTTAATGGAGTCTAAAGGCTCAAGGGCTGTCTCCATAACTCCCATTGAGTCCACATGCAAGTGCACTTACTTCAGAGGTTAGACTCTCAGCCACCTGGGACTGGACTCAGCAGGCACCAGGGCCCCACACCTGTCATCTTAGCTACTCAGAGGCCTGAGATCTGCGGATCGAGGCACAGAGCTAGCCTATGCAGATAAATCTATAAGACTCCTTTGCAGTTAATCAACAGAAAGCTAGAAATACAGGTGTGGCTTGAGTGGTAGAGCATCAATCATGGGTGAAAAGTCTGAGAGAATTCACAAGGCCCTGAGTTCAAGCCCCAACACTGTCACACACACACAGAAAGTCACTAGCTTTGTTCACCTGTGAGAAAATCTCCAAGAGTTACTACAGGAGATTGAGAAGATTAAGATATTTGGGGAAGTGGTGCTGTAGCTCAAGTGGTAGAGAGCTCCCCTTGAGCTGAAGAGCTGAAGGACAGCACCCAGGCCCAGGGTTCAAGCCCCACGACCGACGGAAAAAAAAAAAAAGATACTTGGAATAAAGCCTATGTCCTCCCTTCCCCAGACTGAACTTGCTCCCAGACTTGACTTTGCTTCTCCTCAGTAGGCCAGTTGTGATACAGAGTCACATGGTAGGAAGGATTTCTTCAGCAAGAGGGTGTATTCCATATAATTGTTCCCCAGACCAGAAACAGAACAACTTTTACAGTTGAAATGACTGATTTTACAAGTTGTTCTTACTAAACTTCCCTGAAGGTGAAGAAGGAGGAGCTTGTTAGGTTGTAGGCAGAGGGGAATGTTGTTGGTCATGCTGGTGCACATTTTTTTTGGGTCAGTTGTGGGGCCTGAACTCTGGGCCTGGGTGCTGTCCCTCAGCTCTTCAGCTCAAGGCTAGTGCTCTACCACTTCAGCCACAGTGCCATTTCCAGCTTTTTCTGCTTATGTGGTGCTGAGGAATCAAACCCAGGACCTCATGCATGCAAGGCAAGCACTCTACCACTGAGCCATCTTCCCAGCCCCCTGGTGCACATCTTTAATCTCAGCCTTCCAGAAACTAAAGCAGGAGGGTCTGAGGGCCTTAACTTTTTTTTTTTGGTCAGTCCTGGGGCTTGAACTCAGGCCCTGCCCACTGTCCCTGACCTTTTGCTCAAGGCTAGCACTGTGCCACTTGAGCCACAGTGTTACTTCTGGCTTTTTTTGTTTATGTGATACTGAGGAATTGAACCCAGGGCTTCATTCATGCTAGGCAAGCACTCTACCACTAAGCCACATTCCCAGCCCCATAGGGCCTTGACTTCTGATCTGTATCAGGCTGAGCTACATAGCAAAACCTTGACTAGAGAAAAAGAGTAGGTGGGAAGGAAGCAAGCTGGGAAGAGATAGACACCACCATTAATGAACACAGTGACTGGATCTGTGGCTCAAGCAGTAGAGTACCTGCTTAGCAAATGCAAAGCCCCAAAATTCATTACCTACTGCCACCAAACAAAGTTAATGACAAGGCAGGCCAGGCAAGGGCTGAGAACTAAAAGCAAGACCTTGATTACTGTTCTGTCAGCAGTTTGTACCTAGCATATAAACCACAGCAGAAAATCTGTTCGTGAAACACAGTGATAACATCAGTTATATTAGAAATCCAAAGACATCATCCCCAAGTCTATTGGGTTTCCTGGGACATGAAGAAAAGGAAGAGAATTAATCTGTCCTGATTGTTGCATAGGGGAAATTGCACAACCAAGAGAGGCTGTGAATGACAAATGAGAGACCTCCTTTTTAAGCATCAGCATGCAACTTAACGGACAGGAAGTGATGAGTTTCATTTTCAGCATTTGATCCAAATGACATGGTGTAGGCTAAACATGGCCTCTACGCAGCGAATGTTCCAGCAGGAGGTGAGGGATCTGGGCACAGTTTGCAAGAGTGACTAAAGATGTTATTCCAGAAGACCAAAAATGCAGAGAAGATAGCAAGGAGTCGGAATGGGAAAGCCACAAAGGGTATCTAGAACTGGGAGAAAAGCCAGGTCGCCAGAAGAACATGAACGTGACTGACTGAGACATAAAGAAGCAGAACTGATCTGGTCATTATCCTGTGTGAGAAAATAAAGGGCAGAAGCCAGGAAAAGACATTTAGGCAAGATGAAAATCCTCTTAAGCAGGAAGAAACAGCAGTGGAAGTGAAAAGTGGCAGAAAGGTCAAAGCGAAGGAAGTGAAGGCAAACACAGAAGGTTGTGAGGAAAACTCCAGAGTTTTGGTGAAAGACAGAGGCCTAGAGGGGCAGAGCTGGCCTAAGCCATAGAGGTCGTTCTTTGTTCTGTAGAGGGGAGGGTTTGGACCGGTGCATTGGTATTTAGTCCCACAGGAGAAGAAGAGGTGCCATATGGCTGCAGCTCACTCAACCTTCGGGCCATGTTTCTGGCATCCTAAATTCCAGCCTGACTTGGTCTACAAGGAGGACATACCAGGCCCACCCACCCCGCCCCTGACCTGATCCATCTCTCTTTCAGGATAGGATTTTTGGGCCTTGGCCTCATGGGAAGTGGCATTGTCTCCAACTTGCTAAAGATGGGTCACACGGTGACTGTATGGAACCGGACTGCAGAAAAAGTAAGTATTGTGAGTCAGATGTACTGGTCCCTGGAGTGCGGGTGACTACTCACTGTTCCACATAGGGTGAAGGAGAAGCCAAACCTAATCCTGGCAGGTAGATGTTATTAGAAAAACTAAGTGCCTAGGGATGGAGGTATGGCTCCAATGGCAGAGTGCCAACTAAGAAGCAAGCCCAGCAAATGCAGCACCTTGACATACACACACAGGATAAAGATGCTCCCTGCGGTTGCCTAAGATTACTCAATAGATTTTTCCTCTGTCTGGGTGTCACCTTTAGGGATAGAGGTTAGATAATGGATGGTGGTCACAGATAGCTTGAGGCTATCTGGGTCCTGGCACATAGCACCCTGGGCACACCGGTGCCACTGGGCTAGGCATGGGCTAGTGCTGAATTCCAGTTACTGTCTAATAAGAATGACCAGGACGCCTCAGCTGCCTATCCCAGGGACATGGAGAACCTGTAGTTCCCTTAAAGGGCCTCTGTACATCCTAGGTTTTCTTGGTGTTGATTTTGTTTGGGGGCTGGGGGGGTGGGGGGAGGGAGTTGGCAGTTTGGAACTTGCTAGTCAGATTCTCTACCACTGGCCCACCCTCCCAACCCCATGCTGTTTTGTGATTGGAAAACTTCCATGTCACCCACAGGACTGTTTGTTCCTCCCAGGGAGGCAGGAGAACAAAACAGTTACGAACTTAGGTTTACGTCAGTCCCAAATTCATGTCACAAATGCATCAGACCTCCTTCCTGTCAGTGTCCTCACCTGAGAAGGTGAGGCACCTGCTCAAAGGGCATGGCATTGGACAGGTCATCCGAAACAGCACAGTACTCTGGCCTGGTACATGCCTATAATATCAGCTACTGTAGAGGTTGAGGCAAAAGGGTTGCTCTGAGTTTGGTCCAAGTTCAGGGCCATACCAAGATCCTAATGCAAAAACAACAAAAAGTGCTCCTCTAGTTCTTGTGAATAAGTAGGGAACACATTATGAGACCTCATTACTGAAAGGCTACACAGACCAGCTTAGGCAGCCTGAGGCAGGGCTGTTAGTTATCACTCTGTAGACTCAACATTCAAGGAAAGCTTCTCTGGACAATTGCTTAGAAACTTGGGGAGAACCAGACCCTAGTGGCTTATGCCTGTAATCCTAGCTACTCAGGAAACAGATCTGGGGAACATGGCTCAAAGCCAGCCTGGGCAAGAAAGTCCATGAGACTCTTACCTCCAATTAACTACCAAAATAACCACAAGTGGAGCTTTGGCTCAAGTGGTAGAGTGCTAGCCTTAACCAAAAAATCTCAGGGTCAGAGCTCAAGCCCTTAGTTCAAGCCCTAAGGACTGGCCAAAACACACAAAAAAAAAAAACAGAAAAAATGAAATTTACTATTAATGTAGCTCTTTTGGAGTTTACAAGCACTCAAATCCACTAACAACAAATATGAATTGTAGTTTTGGTAATATCCCACAACAAAGAGTAAACAAATTGAAAGGTATACTAGCTAGATGTACTGGTAACAAATACAATTTTAAAAAAAGAGTAATGTAATGATTTTATTAAACATAAGAAAAAAGCCCACAAAAGAGAAACAGTAGGCAAAGGTATAAAAAAAAATGTGTACCAGACATCATCAAAATATATAAACCAGAAATATGTTAGTCTTGAACTCATAATTCTCCTGCATCAGTCTCCTGAGTAGCTGTGATTACAGGCACACATCACCACACCCAGCACAGAACATTTTAAATGCATGTAAAAAAATTAGTAAAAGTAAAGGCTGTAGCCTGGCACCAGTGGCTCATGCCTGTAATCCTAGCTAATCAAGAGGCTGAGACCTGGGGCTGGGAGTATTGCTTAGTGGTATAGTGCTTGCCTAGTATGCATGAAGCCCTGGGTTCAATTCCTCAGTAATACATAAACAGAAAAAGCTGGAAATAGTGTTGTGGCTCAAGTGGTAGAAAGCTAGTGTTGGGCACAAAGAGGCCCAAGAACAGAACCCAGGCCCTGAGTTCAAGTCCCAGGACAAGCAGAAAGAGAGGGGGGTGGGGAACGGACCTGAAGTTTCACAGTTTGAACACAGCCCAAGCAGAAAAATCCTTGAGACTCTACCTCCAAACTAACCATTAAAAAGCTACATTGGACAAGGCATGGCTCAAGTGATAGAATGCCAGCCTTGCAAGCATGAGGCCCTGAATTCAAACTCTAGGATCACCAAAACAAAAAACAAACAAGACATGCACTGGAGTGCTCGCCTTGAGCTGAAGAGTACAGGGACAGCGCCCAAGCCCAGAGTTCAAGCCCCACAAGAAAAAGGAAAGGAAAAAAAAAAAAAGCATGCAAAATACTAAATCTAATTCTCATTACTGTGTACCCCTGTGAACAAGACAATAGTAGTGTTTAGACTCAAAGCCTGGTGATGACCCTTAGCTTTTTTGCTCAGAGCTGGTACTGTACCACTTGAGTCACAGCCTCACTTCTGGCTTTTTACTGGTTAGTTGGAGGTAAGAGTCTCATAGACTTTTCTACCTGGGCTTGTTCCAGATCTCCACCTCCTGAATACCTAGGATTACAGGAGTAAGGAACGAGAAACTAGCTTTAATTACTTCTTTTATTGCTTATTGTTCAAAGACATACTACCAAAACACCAGTGATACATTTTGTTAGGAACCAGCAGCAGCGTGGGCAGCCAGCCTGAAAAGGAATGGCGGCCAGAAGGAGGGGCTCCCATCAGCCCCGCTTCCCAGCACAGTGCTGGCAGCCCAGGGCACTGACTTTCTCTGAAGCCAGACCTCTAGCTCTGCTGTCCCCAGTCCCCACCTCAGCCTCCTGCCTGGAGGCCAGCCAGGTTCTGGGCCTGACTGGCATACTTGTGCACTACCTGCTGCTCACGTTAGGATCTGTGACTTTTGCAGTGTGATTTGTTCATCCAGGAGGGGGCCCGCCTAGGAAGAACCCCCGCTGAAGTCGTTTCCACTTGTGACATCACTTTTGCCTGTGTGTCGGATCCAAAGGCAGCCAAGGACGTAAGGATCCCCCTCCCCTCAGCGCTCAGGTCGTAGCCAGGAGAGCTGGCTGGCCTCCTCCCCTTCTCCCCTGCACAGCGAGTGAGTCTGCATGTGGGGGCTGGATTTCCCATTTAGGGGCCATCTCCCATTGGGAAGGGCATTTGCCTACATTGAATACAGACTTCTTTACTTTGTTTTTTGTTTTTTGTTTTTTTTTTTTGTCGGTCGTGGGGCTTGAACTCTGGGCCTGGGTGCTGTCCCTCAGCTCTTCAGCTCAAGGCGAGCGCTCTACCACTTGAGCTACAGCGCCACTTCCGGTTTTCTGGTGGTTTATTGGAGATAGGAGTCTCACGGTCTCTCCTGCCCGGGCTGGCTTTGAACCGCAATCCTCAGATCTCAGCCTCCTGAGTAGCTAGGATTACAGGCATGAGCCACCAGCGCCCGGCGACTTCTTTACTTTGAAACAAAGCATGAAAACTATACTTGAAGTCTGTACTGAAATGGTTCCTAAGCATCTATTGAGCTAGAAGCTTTGGGGCTGAGGGTACTTGGGTTCAAAGGCCAGCTTCCTATGTGTAGCTATTTCTGAATTTGAACGTGTTAGAAGTTCAGATGTAGCCATCCTGTTAACACAGGGGACTGGTCTAATCCAAGTCAGTCCAAAGAAGGCCCAAAATAAATAATGGGATCCTGTTGAGAGGGTGCAAGAACAAATGGGAAGGAGCATTCTGGAAATACTATTTTAACCCTTGCATATTTAGTGGGCTCTTCCCTTTTCAGCCTTAATAGTTAATTCCTAACGAGGAAGTGAGCCGAAAAGCCAACATATAGTGGTCTACAGGAGCTTCTGAGCATTGGCTGGGAGGCCAGGCTGTTGCTTCTTCTTTGTATCCCCACAGCTGGTTCTGGGCCCCAGTGGTGTGCTACAAGGGATCCGCCCAGGCAAGTGCTACGTAGACATGTCCACGGTGGATGCTGACACGGTCACCGAGCTGGCCCAGGTATCCCACTGGCTCTAGATTGTCCCCAGACCCAGGCTGAACAAAGCCAAGTGTGGGTGGTTCCCTGTGGGACAGCTGAAGGCAAAGACTGTCTGGGTGGAAGGCAGGCCCCCGAGGATGCTCCTTGACGTGTCTGGGGGGCCTGTGAGGCACAGGCCTCCAGAAGCTGTGGCTTTCCCACACAGGTGATCGTGTCCAGGGGCGGCCGCTTCTTGGAAGCCCCAGTCTCAGGGAACCAGCAGCTGTCTAATGACGGGATGTTGGTGATCTTAGCGGCCGGAGACAGGGGCTTGTATGAAGACTGCAGCAGCTGTTTCCAAGCCATGGGGAAGACCTCCTTCTTTCTAGGTAATATGTCTGCCACCGCTGGGGCCATGTCAGGCCTGGAGGTCGGGGACTGCATCCGTCTTACATGGCCTTCCTACCGGGCACTCTAGGGGAAGGTTTCCGTTGATGGTTACAGTCAGTGCCTAGAAGGAGCAAGAACCTGCTTTGTCACAGACAGGTGAAAGAGACTCCCAGATGCAGGGTGAGGGCAGGAAGAGAGGCCCGCCTCCTGTGGCATTCTTGGCATGTGATTTTGACTCTTTGCCCTTGGCAGGTGAAGTTGGCAATGCAGCTAAGATGATGCTGATCGTGAACATGGTCCAAGGGAGTTTCATGGCCACCATTGCCGAGGGACTGACCCTGGCCCAGGTGACAGGCCAGTCACAGCAGACACTCTTAGATATCCTCAATCAGGGACAGTTGGCCAGCATCTTCCTGGACCAGAAGTGCCAAAGTAAGTCCCCTTTGGTGTCTTTTTTCATCTTCCCTGGGGGGAAAGCCTGCAGGAGGTTTTATTTAGGGTCCTGAGTTCTTCTTATCAGTAGCTTTCCTTCCTCAGACATCCTCCAAGGAAACTTCAAGCCTGATTTCTACCTGAAGTACATTCAGAAGGATCTCCGCCTGGCCATCGCGCTGGGCGATGCCGTCAACCACCCCACTCCTATGGCAGCTGCCGCCAATGAGGTAACGGGATAGCACGCGGCCAAGTCCCAAGACTCTGCACCTTCTTGCAATAGGTGTTTCCCTCCCTCTGTTGAGCTTTGCTTTGCTCTTTTTCTTCTTTTTTTGTTTTTTCCACATTTTGTTTAGATAGAGTCTCACTTTATATTTGGGGCTGACTCTGTGATTCTTCAACCTGTTATGTCCTATGTAGCAGGAGTGACAGGCTAATGCACCAACGCAGGTTGTTTTGTTGCAGTGATGTTCACTGACATGCTAGCCTTGAACTGCAGTCTGGCCAATTTCTGCCTTCCAGGTTATTGGGATTGTTATCAGCCTATTCTGCTGTTTTTTGTTCTTTTCAGTCATAAGGCTTGAACTCTGGGCCTAAAGCTCTGTCTCTATAAACTGTTAAAATCGGTCAATCGGTCGTGGGGCCTGAACTCTGGGCCTGGGTACTCTCCCTCAGCTCTTCAGCTCAAGGCTAGCGCTCTACCACTTGAGCCACAGCACCACTTCTGGCTTTTTCTGCTTATGTGAAGCTCAAGAATTGAACCCAAGGCCTCATGCATGCAAGGCACTCTACCACTGAGCCACCTTTCCAGTCTCTCTGTAAAGCCTTTTGCTCAAGGCTAGTGCTCTACCACTTTGAGCTGTAGCTCCACTTAGTTTTTGTTGTTGTTGATGTTGTTGTTGAGAACTGGAGAGGAGAATCACACAGGGACTTTTCTACTCAGGCTGACTTGAAACTACGATCCTCAGACTGCAGCCTCCTGAGTAGCTAGGATTACAGCCTGCCTGTTCTGCTGTTTTAAAGTTCAGGACTCTCAACTTGGCTGTTTTCTCTAACCCCTTAATATGAATTCCTTTGCCCTTGACTTTTGTCTTTCCCGAATGATTTATTCTTCCATTTATGGATTAAAATTTATCAAGTCAGGCATAGTGGCACACATCTGTAATCTCAGCTACTTAGGAGGCTGAGGCAGTAGTATTGATTGAGCCCAGGAGTTCAAGGCTAGCCTAGTTAAAACTGAAGGTCAGACTCAAAAGTTTGCTCGACATTTGGAGATTTTTAGATATCTAATGGTTATTGATTTCTATTTTATTCATCTTGTGGATTAGAAGACATGGCCATGTGGTATTTTATGCTTTACATTTATCAAGACTTGTGGCCCAGCAGATGGGCTCTCTTTTTGGTGCTACTACCTGTGCAATTAAATAGAATGTGAGTTCTGCCAAGAGTGGTGGTTCATACCTGTAATCCTAGCTATTTAGGAAGCAGTGATCACAAGAAGCATGGTTTGAGGTGAGCATGGGCAAAAAGTTTATGATACTCCATTTCAATCAGTAAACAAGTTGAGCCAGCTACACGGGGGAAGCAAAAATAGGAGGATCATGGTCCAAGCCAGTAATGACAAAAAGCAAGACCTAACAGGTACTGGTGGCTCATAGCTATAATCCTAGCTACTTAGGAAATTGAGGTCTTTAAGGATCACAGTTCAAAGCCAGCCCAGACAGGAGAGTCTATTAGATTCTTACCTCCAGTTAGCCAACAAAAATAAATGGAGGGCTGGGAAGTTGGCTTGGTGGTAGAGTGCTTGCCTTGCATGCACAAGGTCCTGGGTTCAATTCTTGAGCACCATATAAGCAGAAAAAAGCCAGAAGTGGCACTGTGGCTCAACTGGTAGGGTGCTATCCTTGAGCTGAAGAGCTGAGGGACAGCACCCAAGCTCAGAGTTCAGCCCCCATGACTGACAATCAATCAATCAATCAATAAATAGGTGGAGCTGTGGTTCAAGTGGTAGCGTGCTAGCTTTGAGCAAAGTTCATTGCCAACCTAGGCAATTTAGACCTTGTCTCAAAATAAGGACAAAAGGACTGAGGTTGTATGTAGTTCAGTGGTAGATTACCTGCTTAGAATGCTCAGAAATCTAGGTTTAATCCCTGGTGTTGCAAGAAAATAAAGAATGTGAGTCTGAAGTTGCTGAGTATATTCCACAACTGTCAGACAAAGCAACTGACTAGAAACCTGTGCTGTGGCTCACACCTGTAATTGTAGTTACTTAAGAAAGTAAAGATCTACAGAATCATTGTCAAGGCCAGCCAGTCAGAAGAGGTAGAGAAACCAAATAACCAACACAAAGCCAGTCTGGAAGCATGACTGACATGGTACAGTGTGAGCTGAGCAAGTGCAAGGCCCTGAGTTCAAACTCCAGTAACACCTGAAAAAGAATCTCCGAACTAGTGGCATAACCTGCTTTCCTCCTTTAATTCTGTCTTTGGCACTGTTAGGCTTTTAGACAGTGATGGGTGCTAGTGTCCTTGTGAGTTTGACCTTTAGTGCCTCTGGAATGTCTGTCTGCTGTTTGGCATGGGTAGACACTGCATGCAGCCCTGTCATGCTTGCTTTTTTCATTACAAGGGAGGGTCACACTCTGGACTTGAACTCAGCCTGGGCACTATCCCTGAGCTTTTTTGCTCAAGGCTGGTACTGTACCATTTGAGCCACAGCTCCACTTCTGGCTCTTTTGTGGTTAATTGAAGATAAGAATTTCATAGACTTTCCTGCCTGGAGTTGGTTTCAAATTGTGATCCTCACGTCTCAGCCTCCTGAGTAGCTAGGATTACAAGTGTGAGCTACTGGTGTCCAGCGTCATGTTTAGTCTTATTACAGGGTTTCTCCTATATTCTTCCCATCTATTTTTTTTTTTTTTTGTCAGTTGTGGGGTTTGAACTCTGGGTGGGTGCTGTCCTTCAGCTCTTCAGCTCAAGACTAGCGTTCTACCATTTGAGCCACAGCACCACTTCCAGCTTTTTCTGCTTATGTGGTGCTGAGGAATCGAAGCCAGGGCCTCATGTATGCGAGGCAAGCGCTCTACCACTGAGCCACCTTCCCAGCCCCCCCACCTATGTCTTTACATTTAAATTCTGTCGTTTGTAGACAGTCCTTGGTTAGGGCTGCTTTTTGGTCATTCTGACTGTTTCTGCCTTTTAGTTGGAGTACTTACTGTGTTAGCATGCTTTCAAATACTATATTTACAGGTCACTTGCACATGCACTGTTGGTAAATTTTGTGGGGTGTGACCATTCAGGCCACAGAATGTGATTCAGGCTCTGCACTGTAGGAGCTCAGAAGTTGCATCTGTGTGGAGGTAGGACTGGATTTGCAGTGACCCTTTTGTCATTGGTGCCTCTGCCTTCATCTGTCTTCAACTTAATGATGGAATCTGCTTTAGAATTGTGTTTTCATTTGCCTCTTGACTTGGTGGTTGCATAAGGATTACAATATGTAGCTACCTTCACAGGCTAAGCCAGGAGCAGAGTTCTGTGTTGTCAGGTGCAGGAGCACCTCTACACCCAGGGGTGTCTTGTATCTTCCCACCTGTTTTCTCACCATCCCCTCTGCAGGGGCCAGCACCTCCCCAGCAGCTCAAAGTCCTGAGCACCCTGTCTTTGCAGCTGGGTACCCACCACCTCTCCATCTGTGTTATTTTACTCCTATTTCTTTTTTTCCAGGTGTACAAAAGAGCGAAGGCACTGGACCAGTCTGACAATGATATGTCTGCCGTGTACCGAGCCTATATACACTAACCCTTCAATGCCCCACCTCGCCCCTTCATCTTTCTCTGGCCCCTGTTCCTCACATGGGGTCGGGGTCCTGGGACTTAGCTCTGGACCAGCCCACCTGTCTCCATTTCCTTTTATACAGACTTTGCGACTTGCTGTCGGCCCAGTGTGTGGCAGCCCCTCTCTGAGATCCTGGGCAGGGAGTGGGGCTGTCAGCACGGTGCCTGATGAGGAAGCTCCTGGACTGGGCACTGGCCATGGAGTATGAAGCTGTGTATTCTCTGTCTGTCTCTCTCTCTTTCTCTCTTTCTCTCTGTTTCTATCTGTCTCTGTCTGTCTCTCTCTTACACACACACACACACACACACACACACACGTATTCACACACTGGCTCTTGCCCCAGGATAGAAGCTGCCCAGAAACTGCTGCCTGGCTTTTCTTCCAAGCTTGTCTCATCTCCACCCCCTTGAGCAGAGGGACTAGAATTGGCCCTGAGCACTGGACACTGCCCCAGTCCCCAGCATGGAGGCGAGAGAGAGGTCCACATCCCCACAGCACCAGGAGGGAGCAGCTCAGCCAAAGTGAACCAGCACAAACACCAACACAGGCTCCGTGGGCCCTCCAGTCTCAGGCCACCGGCTGGGGAGGATTTCCCAGCTGGCCTCCTTTCTCAGGCCTTTGTGAACTGAAGAGTGACTGGCACAGCCTGCCAGGCACCTCTGTAGGGAGCGCAAGAGTGGCTGGCCTGCGGTGAGTGTGGCCGCCTCCCTCCGCGCTGCTCACCTTGGCCCTACCCCAGGTGCCCTGATGTGAGCACTACTCCTCCTGGGCTGCTTTAGTATTTGGATTTGCATTCCAGCCCTTGGGAAGGGTCCTGAGGGCACCATGAGCAGTGGGGAATGGGGCAGCGCCTTCCTGTTTCCGTTAAGACAGTCTCTTCACCTGGCCTTGAAGAGCCTCTCTGACTGACCACCTGCTCCTGCCTGCCCCGCACAGGTCCTGCATGCCCCACCCTTCACCCCTTCCTCCCATGGAGAGTGTCCATGTCTGTCCCCCGTGTGGCCCAGACCCAGCAGCCTGCAAGCCATGAGCACTTCTGAGGCCCAGCTCTTGTCTTCGCTCCAGGCAGCATCAGGGTCTTCGGTGCTCCCCAGCCAGACCAGGGTCTTTGGAGGGGAGGGAACGGGCCTGACCTAACCTGACCACGGAGTGGGGCTGGGTGACCTCAGGCTCTGGCATTTCTCCTTGACTAGGGGACCAGAAAGGGCATAGGGTGTCACCTAGGAGCAAGGAGAATTCAGCCTTGCTTCTCCTGGGTTGAGATTCCAATTGTGACTTGCAGGTGGGCATTCAGGGTGTGGCCATGCTGGTGTGGGGTCTCCCCCAATATTTTGGCCCTTTTCCTTGGGCTGGAACCTGCGTGGGATCTCGGGAGGACTGGGTGGGCCGCTGGGATCACTGGGAAGTTGAACTTGTTTTCTGTCTGAACACAGCCTGTCCTGGTCCTGGGGGACACGAGGGTGGGGGTGGGGGAACATGCTGTATGAGAACTGGTTAGTCAATGTTGTCTTAATATTGTTGACAATTCTGTAAAGTTCTTTTTATGGATATTTCTGTTGAAGCTACTTCACCCTTGTTTTGAGATCCTTCCCTTTTAAGGAGAAAATGTGACACTTGTGAAAAAGCTTGTAAGAAAGCCCCTGTTCCCTTCCTTTAATCTTTAAATGACAAATCTTCTAGGTGATTAAGGTTGTGAATTTTTATTTTTGCTTTGTTTTTAATGAACATTTGTCTTTCAGAATAGGATTGTGTGATAATGTTTAAATGGCAAAAACAAAACCTGATTTTGTGCAATTAACAAAGCTACTGCAAGAAAAATAAAACATTTCTTGGTAACACCGCTGTGATGCGTGAGCCCCGCGCTGGGGCAGGGGCCGGAGTCCTGGAGTCCTGGGTTCCGGTCTGGTCTCCCTGCCTGGGGATTAAGGCCCTGGGCTCAGTCCGCCCGGCCTGGACCAGTGGCCTGCGGTAGAGGCGGGTCCTGCAGCGGGCCAATGGGAGGGCCGAGCGGGCGAGGAGGCGGCTTGCCGGCCAATCACTGGGCGTGGGGAGCTGGCGGGCAGGTCAGGTGGGCCTGCTGGAGTTGAGGGGAACTGGAAGGCGCCGGTCCCGGAGCTGGGTCTGAGAGGCCGGGGGCGGGGCCTGAGCACGCTCCGCCAACCGGCAAGGAGAGGAGGAGGGCAGGGGGCGGGCTCTGCGCGCGGGCCGGCCGCGCACGGCGGAGAGGGAGACGGCTGGCGGCGGAGATGGCGACCGCGGTGGCAGCGACCGCGACGGCGGCGGAGCGGGCCGTACTGGTGAGCGGCGGGCGGCGGGCGGCGGGCCGGGCGGGCGGGCGGGCCCTGACCTCCGCCACCCCCCGCAGGAGGAGGAGTTCCGCTGGCTGCTGCAGGCCGAGGTGCACGCCGTGCTGAGGCAGCTGCAGGACATCCTCAAGGTAGGCGCCCCAGGCCGCGGCGGCCCTGCCCGCCACCGGGCCTTTGCACACCCTGCCCGCCTCAGTGGAAGGACTTGAGTGGTGGACACAAGGAAATCAGCAAGTGTGGGTGGGAGGTGTCCCGGAGTCCCAGGTCAGCCCTGGGACTTCCGTGGAGGCAGTGACATTAACGTGAGAACTGAGCTGGCACTAGGGATCTGGTTGGTAATCTCAGCACCATGGAAACAGGGATCATGGCTTCGAGCACAGCCAGCCTAGGGTACAGAGCGAGTCTGTCTCAAAAGGGAAGGGAAGGAAAAGAACTGGTCATGTGACAGCTGAAGGGTCCTGCCCCTCCCTTACAGTGTGAGCTCAGCTAAGCCACTCAACCTCTCTGGGACTCTCTCCCCTCATTGGAAAAGAAGATAACAGAGATCAGATATGAAGACTAGCCTGAGCCAGTTTTTTCAAAATGCCTAGTGCCTGAAGTGGCCTAGAACTACAGGTTGCCATGACTACAGTCAGGTTCTCCACCCAGCAGGGAGGTGGAGCCTTTCTGCCCTCTCTACACTCATTCCCAGTGTAGTATGTATGCCCAGCCCTCAGGGGTCTGCAGGGCCCAGGCTCAGCTTAGGTACCCGATCAAACCAGCCTACCTTGTCCTTTCCTCAACTGACCCAAGACCTGTAGGGAGGGGGGGGCTCTAGATTGGGGTACACTTTACAGTAGCGCTTTGTCTCCTGCAGGAAGCCTCTCTTCGCTTCACACTGCCAGGCTCAGGGGCCGAGGGCCCCGCCAAGCAGGAAAACTTCATCCTGGGCAGCTGCAGGTGAGCTGTGCTCAGTAGAAATTTGGGGGTGGGGCGAAGCAGGGAAGGGGAGATGGGGCGCGGACTCCCAGGGTTCCTGAGGGAAAATGACAGTGGGCAAGCTGTCTTGTCAGGAGCTGGGGAGGGAGGAGGAGGGTAGTGCGGCAGCAGGTGCTCCTCTGATCCCCAACTATTGTAGCACAGACCAGGTGAAGGGCGTGCTGACCCTGCAAGGAGATGCCCTCAGCCAGGCGGTGAGTGCCCCACCCATCCCGCCCACTCCCTCCCACCAGCCAGCCAGGGTGTCCCTGGGCAGAACCCTGGACCTCTCAGAGTCTGGTTTCCTTGTATCTTAAGGTGACAGCACCCCTTTGCCTCTGCTAGGGAGGCAGGAAGCTGCTTGGCACTTAGCTTAGCCTGGCACCAGGACCCAGGATGTTGTGGGCATTGGCAGGATTAGGCTGGCACTGGCTCAGTGTCAAATCTGCCATCAGCCAAGCTGGCTTGGGCCTGCCCCGGTGCTGGGCAGCAAGGGGAGGGGACGTCTCTCCCCTCTGTCGATTCAGTCTATGGGCTTACTGTCTATGGGTTCCCACTGCCCAATCAAGGGAGGCCACCTTCCTCTACCTCCTTGTCAAGCCCCCGTTGGGCCTGCATTCCTGTCTCCTCACCTCTCTGTTCACCTCGAAACAGTCAAGGTGTCAGGTGTACACCTGGAGTGGCTGGGGCCTGAGCCACCACCAACCCCATTGTGCCTGTCCACTCCCCCATCCCCTCTCTTACCGGGCCCTCTCCCCCTCCCCCCCCCTCCGGCCCAAGGACGTGGCTCCTGCCGGCTTAGCCTGCTCTTACCTGTCAGGATGTGAACCTGAAGATGCCCAGGAACAACCAGCTGCTGCACTTCGCCTTCCGGGAGGACAAACAGTGGAAGCTGCAGCAGGTGGGTGACCACTCAACCCCGCCCAGGCCGGGCCGGGCCACAGGGCAGACAGAAGCTGCGTCCCTGGCCTCCGCGGCTGGCTTGTGGCAAGCTAAGGAGGCCGCTTCCTGGCAGTGCCTGGGGCAGAGAACATGCCCTACCTGTGCATCCTCTGGCCCAGGGGACAGCTGAGGGTCTCCTGAACACACACACACACACACACACACACACAGCCACTTGGACAGGACCTGTGCTTCTCACACACACACACACACACACACACACACACACACAGCCACTTGGACAGGACCTGTGCCCACACATACACACACACACACACACACACACACACACGGACACTTGGACAGGACCTGTGCTAGCTGTGCTAGTGCCACGCGGGGGCCCCGGAGCCGGCACTGTCCCTCGGCTAATGTGCCCCAGCAGATGGTGGGTGCTGTTTTCAGATCCAGGATGCCCGGAATCACGTGAGCCAAGCCATTTACCTCCTCGCTAACCGGGAGGAGAGCTACCAGTTCAAGACGGGAGCCGAAGTCCTGAAGGTATGCAGATGTGTCCTGGGGCTCCCATGGCCGGGCCCACACCCGCATGCTTCCCTACTGGCTGCTTCTGCCCCTGAGATAATGGCTCATAACCTCTAGGTCTAGAATCTGCCTGGTGCGAGTCCCCTAGCCCACTCTGACCTCAATCACCTAGCAGTAAGCAAAGCAAGCCAGGTGGCCCCAGCAAGCGCTCAGCAGGCCCTGGCTGCTCCGAGGTAGTCCCCACTGAGGCAGGAAAGGCCTTTCGTTACAAAGCAAGGTGACAAGGAGAGCACTAACACCAGGGGCTCCTGCTTTAGCTCCAACCCCTCCTCTCCCCCACCCTCCCCGACTTGCTGTGCATCCTTGGGTTGTTTACTTGCCTTCTCTGAGCCTCCAGTGCCAATTGTGTGGCCGTCAGGAAGCAGTGGGAGCTGAGACTCTGGGGAATTAGCCCAGGCTTTGCCCTTGTGGCCGAGGGAATGGTAGGAAAGGCCACCTATGGCCTTGCCATCCACCCAGGACCTCAGCAGGCCCCTACAGCCGTGGTGGGCACTGTGGCTCCCTGGTGGGGGGGGGCCAGAGGCCCAGCCCCCTGGGGTACAGCAGTGTCACCCTCCCCCAGCTCATGGACGCCGTGATGCTACAGCTGACCAGAGCCCGCAACCGGCTCACCACCCCGGCCACCCTGACCCTGCCCGAGCTGGCAGCCAGCGGCCTCACGGTCAGTACACCTCGGCCGGCCCGGCCCTCCCCCCTCCCCTCGTTCTCTGGCCTCCATCTTGCATCACCGTCCCTCCACTGTAGACCCTGCCTGGAGTCCCTGGCCTCTAAAGCCAGCAGGACCCCACGCGCACCTGGGGCTGGTGGTTATGCAGAGGCCTGGGTGGGAAGGGCCTCACCCCCCCACCCCTTCCCAACAGCGGATGTTCGCCCCCACGCTGCCCTCCGACCTGCTGGTGAACGTCTACATCAACCTCAACAAGCTGTGTCTCACGGTGTACCAGCTGCACGCCCTGCAGCCCACCTCCACCAAGGTGAGCCCCCTCCTGACCCCCCCCAGAGCACGTTCCCCCCCCCACGCCTAACTGACTCTGGTGCTTCTGCCTAGAACTTCCGCCCGGCTGGAGGTGCTGTGCTGCACAGCCCCGGGGCCATGTTGTAAGTACAGGGGGGTGTGGTGCCTCCCCACTCAGGCCTCCCCCTCCATCTTGGGCCCTGGGCCCGCCCCCGCCCCCCCACAGCCAGCCACCTCTCCTTCCCAGCGAGTGGGGGTCCCAGCGCCTGGAGGTGAGCCATGTACACAAGGTGGAGTGTGTGATCCCCTGGCTGAACGACGCCCTGGTGTACTTCACCGTCTCCCTGCAGCTCTGCCAGCAGCTCAAGGATAAGGTGGGGCACTATGGGGGGGGGAAGGAGGGGGAGACTGAGGCGCTTGGGGTCCCTGTGGACAACTCCACAGGCTCCACCCCAACACACCTAGCAGCTAGGCTGTCTGCCAAGACTGCTCCCAACCCGACCCGTGGTTAGACCTGGGTCAGGGAGGGGAAGGCGCTCCGGCTGGACACACCCAGTGCCCACTAGACAGGACCCCTGTCTGCTGGACACACCCGGCGTCCTGGCCATGCCCCGTTGTTCTCTGGGGCATGCTCTCACCCACTGACTGCCCCTCTCCCTCTGCAGATCTCCGTGTTCTCCAGCTACTGGAGCTACAGACCCTTCTGAGCTGGGCACCACCCAGAGCCTGTCCCCCAGGAGGCTGACGCTACCTGTGGAGTCCCATCCCCCCCCCAATCCCTCGTGGCACCTGCCGTGGCGGGCACCACGGGTTATTTATCTCCCTCTTTACCCACCCTCCACCCAATCGCACTGCACTACCGGGAACTGGGAAGAGCACTGGACCTGGGTAGGGGCACTGGCTTGGTCTTGGGGTTGGTGGAGAAGGCGGGGCTCCTGCCTTCTGTACATCCTGCACTCAGGGTGGTCCAGGCCCAGGGCTCTCTTGCCTCTGGAGGCCACTGGTGCACCTGAGGTACTGCTGGAGGGGCGGGGAGGGGAGCACAGGGCAAGCTGGGCATTAGGACTCAGGGATGGAAGGAAGGACCGGCAGTGGCGGCCGCACCGTACTGAATAAGCACAGTGCTGGGGTTGTTCTGCAATCTGGGTGCTCTAAGAAATAAAGAGCATCAGAGTTTTCCTGGAACCCTTGTCTCTCTTTCTAAGTGGGAGTCAGGCTGGGGGTCCTGGGTATCAGTGCCCCCCCCCGTCCCTGGGGTACCTGGTGTCGGTGGCCCCCCCCTGCCCCTGGGGGTCCCTGGTGTCAGTGCCCCCCCTGGCCCTGGGAGTCCTCAGTATCAGTGCCACCTCCGTCCCTGGGGGTCCCTGGTGTCAGTGCCACCTCCGTCCCTGGGGGTCCCTGGTGTCAGTGTCCCCCCTCATCCCTGGGGGTCTCTGGTGTCAGTGTCCCCCCCCCTGTCCCTGGGGGTCTCTGGTGTCAGTGTCCCCCCCCGTCCCTGGGGGTCTCTGGTGTCAGTGTCCCCATCCCCGTCCCTGGGGGTCCCTGGTGTCAGTGTCCCCCCTCATCCCTGGGGGTCCCCGGTGTCAGTGTCCCCCCCCTGTCCCTGGGGGTCTCTGGTGTCAGTGTCCCCCCCGTCCCTGGGGGTCCGCGGTGTCAGTGTCCCCCCTGTCCCTGGGGGTCTCTGGTGTCAGTGCCCTCCGCCCCTGGGGGTCCCCGGTGTCAGTCCCCCCCCCGTCCCTGGGGGTCTCTGGTGTCAGTGTCCCCCCCCGTCCCTGGGGGTCTCTGGTGTCAGTGCCCCCCCGTCCCTGGGGGTCTCTGGTGTCAGTGTCCCCCCCCGTCCCTGGGGGTCTCTGGTGTCAGTGTCCCCCGTCCCTGGGGGTCCCTGGTGTCAGTGTCCCCCCTGTCCCTGGGGGTCTCTGGTGTTAGTGCCCTCCGCCCCTGGGGGTCCCCGGTGTCAGTCCCCCCCCCCGTCCCTGGGGGTCTCTGGTGTCAGTGTCCCCCCCCGTCCCTGGGGGTCTCTGGTGTCAGTGCCCCCCCGTCCCTGGGGGTCTCTGGTGTCAGTGTCCCCCCCCGTCCCTGGGGGTCCCCGGTGTCAGTGTCCCCCGTCCCTGGGGGTCTCTGGTGTCAGTGTCCCCCCCCGTCCCTGGGGGTCCCCGGTGTCAGTGTCCCCCGTCCCTGGGGGTCTCTGGTGTCAGTGCCCTCCGCCCCTGGGGGTCCCCGATGTCAGTCCCCCCCCGGTCCCTGGGGGTTTCTGGTGTCAGTGCCCCCTGGGGGTTTCTGGGGTGAGGCCTTGAACTCCTTCCTCCCTCAGCCTGCCACCCGCTGGCAGACTGTGCTAGCATGCCAACCCGTGACTGCCATTCAGGTGGAGGCACCAGGTCTGTCTGTGAGCTCAGCAACCCCTCCCTCGCCCAAGCCGGGTGACCTGGAGTGACACGCCTCCCAGTGCCGCCGTGTGCCCTGATGCGTGCCCTCGGGGCTCAGAACAGTCCAGACTCAGTTTCCAGCAAACACAGGCTTTGTTACGGCCACCCATCCACATGTGCCTGGAGGCTGGCGCTAAGGTTCCAGGGCCAAGTTATCCATTCCTCTGGGTTTTTCCTGTGAGAGGCACAGATCGGTGGCCTGTGGGTGTCACTTCCCAGTCTGCCAGGCCCCTCCGCAGACAGCCCAGTCCCAGCCCTGTCCCGTGCAGGAGGCAAGAAGGTTCCAGGCCCCCACCGCTCCCCTCCTCCTGGGCTCACCTTCCCGGAGCTGGTGGAGGGGCAGCAGCAGCGGCAGCAGCAGTGGGCAATGACCAGGAGCAGCAGCAACAGCACGGTGCCTGGGGACAGATGGGCGTCCAGATGTGAGCCCTGGCCAGGCCGCCGGCAGGGCTGCTGAGGCCTGCGGCCCACACTCACCCACGAAGACCAGGAAGACCACGAAAGCAGCCGTGTCCCATTCCGACTGGAACAGCTGGCGGCTCTTTATCTTCCCCAGCACTTCCTGAGCCGTGGCCTCCAGCTCTCTCCCCAGCTCCTCGGTGGACAGACCCATCTTGGCAGGAGTCACCTGTCCCCACCCCCAGAGGCCGCCTCAGAAGCAGGGCCTGGACCCGCCTCGGCCCCTCCTGCCCCAGCCCTGCTCCCCGCTTGGGCAGCCCCAGCCACCCTCCTCCTCCCTCTGTCTCTCCAGGACCCCACCTGCCTCCCCAGACCTCCACTTCTCCAGCCAGGCAGATCCCAGGTCCTTGGGAGCTCAACCTGCTTCCTGCTTCCGGATCCACACCACCTGCGGCCTTGGCAACCAGCCCCGCCCTTCCCGGGGCCAACGGGGCTGCCTGAGCCAGCCCAGAGCCCAGCCCACTGCAGGGGCCCTGAGGCAGAGGGCCACAGGCCTGCCAGCCGCTTCGCTTCACACCCCAGATTGTTTTCACCTCTCAGGAGGCCAGAGGAGCAGGTGTTCACCACAGCCGATTGCCTCTCAGAGGAGCACAACCCTTGACCTTAGATGCTTTAGTTTTTTGTTTTTTTTTTTAACTTAATGGTATTGAGGATTGAGCTCTGGGCCTTGCGCCTGCTACACAAGCACTTGAGCTACGCTCGGATCCTTTTGTTTTTGCCACAGGGTCTCTCTGTTCCTGAGGACGGGTATACTACACAGGGAAAGAGAATGCATCCCTTGATTTTCGGCCCCAAGGTATGATCCCTGTCTGCCTCAGTCTCTCCATCTGGGAAATGAACATATCAACTGTGCCCACCTCCTGGGACTGGAGGATTCAGCAAAAGAGTGGGAGCTTTCTTAGTACAACAGGATGCCGTTAGCCTCTTGCTCCTGTGACTGGAGTTCCTGAGAAGGCAGGCTTGCAGGACAGGTGAGCTTCATTTCCTGGTTTCAGAAGTTCCATTCAAGGTCACTTGGCTCTGTTGTTTTGGGGGTGGATCATCACAACTGACCGTGACAGGACAGAACACGAGGCCCAGGAAGGGCACAGCCCTCAAAGGGGAGCCCTGCTTCTCCAGGCAGCCCCAACACCTTCTCCAGTGCACTGGCATATATATGCCCCGGTCAGCGGTGAAGGGAGAGCCTCCTAGAGGTTCAGTCATTTCCCTATAGAGCGTCCCTCTGAACATCACACACAGGGAACCAGGTCCTCAACACAAGAGTTTGGAAGGTGGACATTTCCTGTTCCTGCCATGACAGATGCTGAGGGCAGATGTACACTGAGTGTCTGTGTTTCTGTCCCCAGCTTATGAGTGTGCATCCCCTCCAGCTTTCCCTTCCTGGTCCCCAGTTAGACTCCTATGCTCATCAGATCCTTCAGCCCTCAAGAGGTTTATTTGAGTTTCCTCCTCCTCCTCCTTCTCCTTTTCTTCCTCCTCCTGCTTTTTGGGTAGTGCTGGGCATTGAACTCAGGGTCCTGCACATAGCTAGGCAAGCACTCTACCATTTGAGCCATGCCCCCAGCCCCTGTTGTTTTACATTAGGGATAGTGTCTTACTAAATTACCTGGGCTGACCTACATCTTGCAGTTCTCCAGGTTTATTCTCCAGAGTAGTTGGAATTCTAGACATGTGCCACCATACCCGGTTTATCATCTCAAATGGGCATAGTCTCCTGAGCAAGGATGAAGCAGAAGGGGGTGCAGAGGACTCCGCCAGGTGGGCTTAACTAAGCCCCTGCCTTCAGTTTCAGCTCTGCCACTTCCTCCCTGGATGACCTTGAACAAGGTCTCCTGTCATCCACTCTCCAGAACCTGGTGATTAGTCCATATTTTAGCATCCCAGGGCTCCTAGAACGAGGCCACAAGCAGGGAAATAGGAGGAGGGAGAGAGTTATTTTCTACATCTATCTCTTGGTTTTTCTTTTTGTCAGTTGTGGGGCTTGAACTCAGGGCCTGGGCGCTGTCTCTGAGCTCTTTTGCTCAAGGCTAGTGCTCTACCACTTTGAGTCATAGCACCACTTCTGGCTTTCTGGTGGTTAACTGGAGATGAGTCTCACAGACTTTCCTGCCCAGGCTGTCTTTGAACTGAGATTCTCAGATCTCAGGCTCCTGAGTAGCTAGGATTATAGGCGTGAGCCACCGGTGCCCAACTCCTCCCCCCCCATTACCCTCTCCCTTCTTTGGCAGTACTAGGACTTTTGAACTCAGAGCCTCATGCTTGCTAGGCAGGTGCTCTACTACTTGAGCCACACTTCCAGCCCTTTTTCCAGTACTTACTTTTCAGGAAGAGTCTCACATTTTTGTCCAGCATTAGCCTCGGACCAAACCACTTCTGCCTATGCCTCCTATGCAGCTGATGTCTGGTACACACCACTGTGCCCGGCATTTTTGTTGTTCAGATACATTTTCTGCCCAGTCTGGTCTTGAACTATGATCCTCCCTCCCTAATAGCTGCGGTTATAGGAGTAAGCCATCTTGCCCTGGATGAATGCCACAACTAAACACAATGGTGCCAAGGATGGATGGATGAATGGATGGATGGATGGATGAATGGATGGATGGATGGATGGATGGAAGAAAAATGCATGAGTATGCTTTTGGACTGTGGACCCCCGTCCAGCTTTCCCTGGCAGGGGAGGCTAAGGGATGTGGATTTAGGCTTGGCGCTCCCCTCTGACAGGAGCCACTAGCTGGCAGCTCTGATGGAGGGGATGGCTCTGGAAGCCTGGCCTCCGCCTCTAAATGAGGAACCCTGTATGATCACGGTCAAAGGGGAAAGGGGAGAGTTGTTGAAGGCCTAAGGCCCACCTGCCTGGGTATGTGGCCGGGAGGGGAGGGGGTCACAAGGAGGAGGAGGGAGCTCAGGTTCTGTGGCTAACTGCCAGCCTGCCCCTCCCCCTCTCCACACACCAGGGCCTGCCAGTGGTTCCCGCAGGGACTCAGCCACCAGGTGCCACAAGAGGCTCCCTGTCTCTTTGTCAGAGGCCATCTTCTGAGCTTGTTACAGGCTGGGCCTCTGCCTTTCTGACTCTCACTCTCTCTGCCCAGCTGTGTGTGTGTGTGCGTGTGTGTGTGTGTGTGTGTGTGTGTGTGTGTGTGTGTGTCCCTGTCCCAAGGGAGAAAGTGGGGGTGGGGGAGGACACTTACTCCTGAGCTTCTCCCTGGGATCCTTTCTCCCTCCCTGTAGGGTCCCCCCCCCCCCCCCAAGAACTAAAGTCTAGTTGCAAGTCCTCCACCCCTCCAGGTTTGTCTGAGCCTTTCAAGAGGGTTGCCTGTCTGGACCTTCTCTGCATGGGGTTTGGTCTCCCCGACCTTGCTCTGGGACCGGGGAACTGAAGTAGCAGACCTGTGGGAATAGTAGTGTGGAGTCTCTGGGGAGCCCCGCTGAGCCCCTGTGACACCGACCTTCGGCCACTCCTCGCCATGGACAGGCGTGACTGTGTCCCTTGCCACATGGACACCCTGAGGCAGTCCCCCTCCCCCTGTTCCTCCCGGCCCTCCAGCCCCAGGACCCCACCCTTCGAGATGTTTGGTCCTGTGGGCATCGAGGCCGTGCTAGACCAGCTGAAGATCAAGGCCATGAAGACTGGGTTTGAGTTCAACATCATGGTGGTGGGTAAGTGAGAGCAGGAAGGGTACGGGAGGGGGAGCCGATGGACAAGACGCCGTGGCCTGGCCTCTCCCACACGGTCTCCCCAGGTGCCGAGGGTCTCATAGGTGTATTCAAGCTGAAAATGTGGCCCAGCACCAGTGGCTCATGCCTATCATCCCAACTACTAGGAGACTGAGATCTGAGGATCAAAGTGCAAAGTCAGTCCACCGGGGACAGTAAAGCCCCTGCCTGAGACTCTTAATGGATGACCATAAAGCTGGAAGTGGCACTGCGGCTCCAGTGGTAGAGTAAGCCTTCAGAAAAAAGCTCAGGGACAGCGCCCAGGACCCGCGGCATCCCCCCCCCCAAAAAAAAAGAAATAGAAAATGGGGACCTATTGAATCATTAGACAGAAAATAGTCTGTAAAGCAGTTATCTCAGCCAAGAGGCCAGGCGGGAGGGGACAGGGGTGACTCCCAGCCTCCGTTACTGGTGCTGCAGCTGTGTTGAACTTGTAACATTCATTTGAGACCAGGCTGCCCTTGAACCCTTTTTTTTTTTTTTTTTTTGGTCCGGTTGTGGGGCCTGAACTCTAGGCCTGGGCGCTGTCCCTCAGCTCTTCAGCTCAAGGCTAGCGCTCTACCACTTGAGCCATAGCGCCACTTCCGGCTTTTTTCTTTTTGCTTATGTGGTGCTGGGGAATCGAACTCAGGGCCTCAGGCATGCAAGGCAAGCGCTCTTACCACTGAGCTACCTTCCCAGCCCTGCCCTTGAACTCTTTATTCTACTATCCCAGCTTGAATGCTGGGATTAGCGGAATGCACCACCATGTGGGTCTATAGTTTCCTCTTGAGATGATGAAAATAATCTGAAACCAGGTACAGGTCCTTCTTACCCAACATTACGTGCGTACTTAATGCTGCTTTGTTGTGCTCTTTAACATGGCGAATCTTAAATTAGACATCTTTAATTTTATATGTTTTTAATTATTTGTTTGAGCACTGGTCCTGGGTCTTGAGCTCAGGACCTGTCCTAAAACTTCTTTTTACTGAAGGGTAGCACTCCACCACTTCAGCCACAGCTCTATTTCTGGCTTTTTGGTTAATTTATTGGAGATAGGAGTCTCTCTTACTATCTTCAACTTGCGATCCTCAGGTCTCAGCCTCTTAAGTAGCTAGGATTACAGGCACCTAGCTGTTAGGTAATTTTTAAGTCCATAAAGAAAAGGAAGGGGAAACATGGGGTGGAACTTCTTTTTTGTCTATGTGATACTTGGGATTGAATGTAGGACTCACACTGGCTAGGCAGGCGCTCTACCACTTGAGCCAGGCCTCCAGCCTTTTGGGTTTTGCTATTTCTTTGAATAAGGTCTGAGGCAAGCCTTGGACTGTGATCTTCCTAACTTGGTCTCCCAAGTAGCTGGGATTATGTCTTCATGATTCTTAGACACGAGTTTGAGAGGGCTTGCCTTAACCACACACATGCCCGCTGGTCACTCCAGGGCAGAGCGGGTTGGGCAAATCCACCATGGTGAACACACTGTTCAAGTCCAAGGTATGGAAATCGGCTATGCCAAGCCTGGAAGTGCCCACACCACAGACACTGGAGCTGCACTCTGTGAGCCATGGTGAGTGAGCCCTGCCCTGCCTCCCACTGTCCCACCCCACCCCTGCCCTGCCCCAGCCCTACTCTCCCCTTCCTCTCCTTCCATAGTTATCGAGGAGAAGGGCTTGAAACTGAAGCTGACCGTGACCGACACGCCCGGCTTTGGAGACCAGATCAACAATGACAAATGGTGGGCGAGGGTTGGGGGCTGACCCATGCTGCCCCTCTCCTGCCTCTGCCCCTCTAACCTCTGGGAGACACCAGCCTTGGAGCAGCCTCAGTTTCCCTGTCTATACAATGGATGGGAATCTCCCCTGTCTGTGGATCACAGAAGGTGGTAACTCACTGGCTGGCTGTGGCTCATGTCTGTAATCCCAGCTACTCAGGAGCCTGAGATCTAAGGGTCATGATTCAAAGCCAACCTTGTCAGGAAGATCCTTGAAATTCTTATCTCCAATTAAGCAGCAAAAAGCTGGACATGGAGTTGTGGTTCAAGTGGTAGAGTGCTAGCCTTGAATAGAAAAGCCAAGGGACAGGCTGGGAAGGTGGCTCAGTGGTAGAGCGCTTGCCTAGCATGCATGAGGCCCTGGGTTCGATTCCTCAGTACCACATACACAGAGAGAAACGGAAGTGGTGTTGTGGCTCAAGTGGTAGAATGCTAGACTTGAGCAAAAGCAGCTCAGGGACAGCACCCAGACCCAGGCCTGAGTTCAAGCCCCACGACTGGCAAGAAAAAAAAAATAGCCAGAGAGAGAGAGACAGACCGACAGAGACAGAAAGACACAGAGGGACAGAGATACTACATACATACACACATACGTGATAGATAACAAATGAACGATGTGTTCTGCGCCCTGTGGACAGTAGCTGGGAGGGCACAGAGCTAGGAGACTGTGACTCCTCAGAGCAGGCTTGGTGGCTCCGCCCTTGCCAAATGGGCACGGTCCCATTCTACAGGCAGGGAAGCCAAGGCCTAGAGCAAGGCGGCAGAGGTGTGTGTGTGTGTGTGTGTGTGTGTGTGTGTGTGTGATGTGAGGGTGGGGAAGGGCCAGGAAGGTGGCTGGTCCTGAGGGGAGGTCCCTCGCCCCAGCTGGGACCCGGTCCTGGGCTACATCAACCAGCAGTACGAGCGGTACCTGCAGGAGGAACTCCTCATCACCCGCCAGCGTCACATCCCCGACACCCGCGTCCACTGCTGCGTGTACTTCGTGCCACCCACTGGCCACTGGTGAGGTGGCCGGACCAGCCCGGGTGGGGGCGCCTGCATGGGGCAGAGACAAGGAGGAGGGGCCCCGGGGGCAGGCTTGGGGCTGGCTCCCCTCCTCATTCAGACACCGCCGCGCTGCCGCCACCACCGGCACTGTCCTGCCTGGACAGCCTGCGACCCTTGGATATTGAGTTCCTGCGGCGGCTGTGCCGGACTGTGAACGTGGTGCCTGTGATCGCCCGGGCGGACAGCCTGACCATTGAGGAGCGAGAGGCCTTCAGGAGCAGGGTGATCTGGGCGCTGGAAGTGGGGCTGGAGTCAATGTTGGCAGAGGGGCAGGGTGGACAGTGCAGGCTGAGGTCACCTGTGCGTCTGGTCCCCAGATCCAGCAAAACCTGAAAACTCACTGCATTGAGGTGTACCCGCAGAAGTGTTTTGATGAAGACATTAATGACAGCATCCTTAATGGCAAGATAAGAGTAAGAAGCTGGGGTTGGGGGTGGGGGAGTGGAGGCCGGGGAGAGGCCGGGAAGGAGGAAGGGGCGGAGAGAGAAAGGGAAGAGGAAGGAAAAGAAAGTTTTACATCATTTTCTTAGAACAACCTGAATTCCTAGCCACGGTCCCCAGACCTCAACGCTGCGGTTTTACTTGGATTAGAGAAAAGGGCATCACTGATGGCCCAGCCCTGTAGTCCTAGCTACTCAGGAGGCTGAGGTCTGAGGATCACTGTTCAAAGCCAGCCATAAGACTCTTATCTCCAACTTAACCAGCCAAAAGCCAGAAGCAGAGCTATGGTTCACGTGATAGAGTGCAGGCTTTGAGCAGGAAAAAGCTTCCAGGCCTTGAGTTCAAACTCCAGGACCAGCGCAAAAGGAAAAAAAAGGGCAGTGTTTTCTTCACAGATGGGAACCTGCAGCCTCTTGCTTTTGAGTGCGCAAACCAAACATCTGCCCTATTTAGGACCCAGTTTCTCTCCTCCCCATACTCCTCTCCCACCCTCTACCCCACCCCACTGGAGCAATGGACACAATTTCTTGGGAAAGATCAACATTCAAGAACTTGCCCTTCCACTATTTCTACTTTCTGCCCGGAAGCAGGTGGGTCTCAGGGGAGCCTGGCCCCAGCCTGGGCAGAACTCAGGAGACTCCAAGAATGGACACTGATAAATGTCTCAGAAAACCACCTAGACACAAGACAAGCACTCATTAAGGGCTCATTAGGGGTTGGCAGCAGTACTTAACTGCTAACATCATCATTCCATTTCCACCAAAAATTAACTCTTGGAAATCACAACAAACCCTTACAACAGAACTTTGGAATATATAGATTTGGATTTCTGCTTCTGGCTCAAAGTCAAAATATGATTATAGGGCTGAGGCAATTTTTTTTTAAACAAAAGAAGATGGTAAATATTTTCGACTCTGTGGGCCAGACAGTGTCTGGTGCAGTTACTCTGCTCTGCTATTGTGGTTGGAAGTCAGATACAGAGGAGAGAAAATAAGGTTATGGGAACCCTGGGCTTCATCCCCAACATCATAACAAACTTTCTTTTTTTCCTTTTTTCCTGTGCTGGTCCTGGAGCTTGAACTCAGGGCCTAGTTGCTGTTCTTGAACTGTTTTTCGCTTAAGGCTGGTGCTTTACTACTTGAGCCACAGCTCCACTTCTGGTCTTTTGGTAGTTAATTGAAGATAAGCATCTCATGGACTTTCCTGCTTAGACTGGCCTCAAACTGCAATCCTCAGATCCCAGTCTCTTGAGTAGATAGGATTACAGGTGTGAACCACTGTCACCTAGCAAACAAACAAACTTAATGAGGTCAGGAATGTAGCTCACTAGCAGGGTACCTGCTGAGCATACAAGAGACTGTGGGTCTATGTCTAGTACCCAAAAAACAAGGAAAACAAGTGATGTATCTGATTTGAATATGAGCCGTAAGTTACAATTTACACTTTACAAAATTACCTATTTTAAAACTCATGATAATTATTGTCTGTTTCAGACGTAGGAGGTTTTGGTGTTCACAAGATACGTATATATATATATATATATATATATATATATATATATATATATATACACATACACAAACACACACATATATATGTACCTTACACATATGTAACATATATAAGTGTTTGTGTTTGATTTCTTTTTAGGCAGTACTGGATTTTGAACTCAGGACTGCTGTTAACACTTTTCTTGAAGCTGGGTTGACATACGTATATCACTATGCCTAGTTTTTACTGGATGTGACTGGGTCTCATTAACTTTTTACCTGGGCTGGCATGGAGCTTTAATCCTTTTTATCTCTGCCTCCTAAGTAGCTAGAATTACAGGGATAAGCCACCATGCCCCACTATAAATATGTATTTCACGTACACATTTGTACTTTTTTTTGTTCTATGTGTCCTGAACTTTGTGCATTAAATACTCTATACTCCCAGGCCGAGATTATATCACTGAAGCCAGGTACCAGTGGCTCATGCATACAATCCTACCTACTCAGGAGACTGAGATCTGAGGATCATGGTTGGAAATTATCCTGGGCAGTAAAGTCCATGAGGCTCTTATTTTCCAATTAACCACCAAAAAAAACCTCCACCAAAAGTGGTAGAGTGCCAGCCTTGAGCTTAAAAGCTAAGGGACAATACCCAGGCCCTAAGTTCAAGTCCCAGTACTGGCACACACAACAAAAAAGATTATATCATTAATGTGATTAGTGTATCATTTATGTGATTATTAACAAGATACAGTTCCCAGGGCTGAAGCTGCTAACCCACTTCACAGATGTTCACCAAGCTGTATGCTGGTACTGCTAGTTTCCCTGTTTTACAGGAGAGAAGGGTAGGGGGGATCTGGTGTCTTTGCACTCTAGAACTTTGTCATCTGCCACCCCCTGCTCCCTCTTCATGGGGTCCCAAGCTTGCTTTCTTCCTCCCTAGGAGCAGATCCCCTTTGCTGTAGTAGGGGCTGACCAAGAGCACCTGGTGAATGGGAGGTGCGTCCTGGGCCGGAAGACCAAGTGGGGCATCATCGAAGGTCAGTGTGGGGACCATGGGAGGGGGCAGGGGGGGAAATCTGTGGCATCCTCAGGCCCTCAAGTGGCCCTGGACCATTAGGTCCACAGAAAGGGCATCCTTCCAGCAAATTCGCTGATTAAGCTCCAGTTTCCCTATTGTAAGCTGTGTGTGACGATGACTCTAAAGTCACAACTTCACAGAGTGGGCCAGAAGGAGCAGAGCTACCGTCTCACACAATCCCCTCCACCCCACACATGGAAAGGTGCTTGCTGGCCTGCTAACACTGATTGTGGCCCTCCTGTGTGCCTGGTCTTACAATGTCCACCTACTGAGTGGACACAATAAAAGCAGAATTAATAAGGTCTCTGTCCTCAAAGAGCTAGAGAGACAATAACAAGAGGGAGAAAAATAATGAAGGAAATTGGGGTGAGGGATACTAGCTTAGGGAACACAAGGCCTTACTGACATAAGGCTAGAAAGTGAGGGAGAAGGAATTGTCAGGGCCTTCTTGGCTTCCGTTTTATTATTCTGATTAGAAATGCACATGTGGGCTTGGAATGTAGCTTCGTGGTAGAGTGCTTGCCTAGTATGCATGAAGCCCTGGGTTTGATGATTCCTCAGTACCACATACACAATAAAAGCCGGAAGGTCAGGGACAGTGCAAGCCCCAACACTGGCAAAAAAGAAAGGAAAGAAAGAAAGAAAGAAAGAAAGGAAGGAAGGAAGGAAGGAAGGAAGGAAGGAAGGAAGAGAAATGCATGTGTAAGCTGGGAGCTAATGGTTTATACCTGTAATCCAAGTTACTCAAGAGGCTGAGACATGAGGATTGAGGTGCAAAGCCAAGCTGGGCAGGAAAGTCTGCAAAACTTTTATCTCCAACTAACCTGAAAAAAAAAAATCCAGAAGTGGAGGTGTGTCTCAGGTGGTAGAGTGTCAGCCTTCAGCGAAAAAGCCACGGGAGAGCACAAGGTCCTGAGAACAAGCCCCAGTACTGGTATACACACACGCACAGGTGCATGTATGCATGCTCGCGTGCACACACACAAACCCAAGTATAATAACTGTCATAATATATGTAGAACGACCTAAAGATGGCAGGCCCTAATTCAACACCATTTGTGGAAGTCATTTTACTAGGCCCTCAGGTATGAATGAATGAATGAATGAATGAACCAAGGAATGACAGACCATAGGACAGTGAGAGAGATGGTGCTGAAGCATACGGCAGTGGCTACTCAGTGCGTCCTGAAGACACAGCAGCTTGCAAAGCCATGCTGGGCCCATGTCTTTCAGTGGAGAACATAGCACATTGCGAGTTTCTTCTCCTGAGAGACCTGCTCATCCGGTGAGACACTGTGGTGTGTGTGTGTGGTGGTGGTGGAGGAGGAGGGGATGGAATCCCTTGGGAGTCACCATGGCCTGGGGCTGACCTGCCTCCCTTGGGCCAGGTCTCACCTCCAGGACCTGAAGGACATCACCCACAACGTCCACTACGAGAACTATCGCGTCATCAGACTCAACGAGAGCCACCAGCTGCCCCGGGGGCCAGGCTGGGTGAACTTGGCCCCTGCCTCCCCAGTACAGCTGACCAGCCCGGGGTGCCTGAAGGTCCGCAGGCGGGCCCAGAAGGATTCCAAAGATGATGAGTGCTGAGCCCTGGGGGTGGCGGGGAGCCTACTGGCCTCCCCAAGTGTCATCAGCCGGACCCCAACGCACACCTGTGTACCAGAGCATCTATTAAAGGTGGCCGTGGCTTTGAATATAAAGCTGTGCTTTGGTAAAAGGCACGACTTCGTGTGTCTTGAGTGTGTGTGTGTGCACACGCACGACAATCCAGGGACTTGAACTCAGTGCCCTGAGCTTTTTCGCTCAAGGATGGCGCTCTGCCACTTAAACCACAGCTCCACCCCTGGCTTGTTTTTAATGGTTAATTGGAGATAAGAGTCTCACGAAAAGAAAAAGACTCACACTTTCCTGCTCAGGCTGGCCCTGAACCACGACCTTTAGATCTCAGTCTCCTGAGTACCTCGTTCCCGACGTGTGCCATCGGCGCACTTAGGCGACTGCGGAATCACAGCCCTCGGGGGTCGCCCAGGTGGACACCGAGGCTCCGAGGTCGGCAGGACCGCCACAAGCATCTTCAGGACGCGGGCGCCGACTGGGCCAGGTAGCGGCGCGGGGGAACTCTGGGAAATGTAGTCCCGCCGCTCCAAATACAGCGCCCTCGACTTCCGCTTCTGGCGCGCCCCGTCCTCGCGTGAGCCTCGCGAGAGGATGAATCCGGGCTAAGGGGCGGGGCGGTAAGTGGGGACCGCGGGACGCGAGCGAGGGGTTTCCGCCGTCCAAGACCGCGCCCCGGAAGTCGTCATTGGCTGTGCGCCTACTGTGTGCGCCGTTTTAGGCAGGAGTGGGTTTTCTGACCGCTGCGTTCCTCAGGTGGCGTAAACTCAGGGGATTGTTTTGACAGAGGAAGAGGAGCCAGAGCCAGGGCTTAGCGTGTCTGCTTTAGTGCGAGGGGCTAGAAGCGGACATTTTTGGGTCAGTCGTGGGGCTGAACTCTGGGCCTGGGCGCTGTCCCTCAGCTCTCCAGCTCAAGGCTAGCGCTCTACCACTTGAGCCACAGCACCACTTCCGGCTTTTTCTGCTTATGTGGTGCCGAGGAATCGAACCCAGGGCCTCAGGCATGCAAGGCAAGCGCTCTACCACTGAGCCACCTTCCCAGACCCCCAAACTTGCTTTTAGATAGAAGGTTCCAGTAGTTTCAGAACCTCCTATGTGACTTTCCCTGTGTTCAGAACTTGAAACTCCCCCAGCTCCAGGGGTTCCTTTCCTGAGAGGTAACAGTACTTCTAACATTGCTAAATTAGGAACATACGTGTATTGCCGGGTGCTCAAAAGTGGATGGGCGTTAGTATTAAGGAAGAAAGAAGCAGCCAGGAGGCCGGGGTGTAGTTCAGTGGAGCTCTTGCTAAGCAGGCACAAGGCTGTGGGTTCAATCCTCAGCAAGTAAAAACTGAGGAATCAAGCACAACAAAGGATACTTGGAGCTGTCAGCACCAGAGGTGTGGGGAAGAAGGGAAGGTAGGAATTGACCTGGGGACTTTTGTCTCCTGGGTAGAGGTGGGCAAAGGCATTTGCATGTCATGTTCACCTTTGTTTGTTTGGCTTAGTTATTTTGAGAGTGTTATGTTGTGGTCTTCAACCCCCAAGCCTAGGAAGTCCTCCTGGCTCAGCCTTAGGAGTAGCTAAGGCCATACTGATCTTATTTTGCATTTTTGTGGGGGGGTCAGTTGTGGGCCTGGCCACTATCCCTGAGCTCTTCAGCCCAAGGCTAGCACTCTACCACTTGAGCCAAAGCGCCACTTCCAGCCTTTGCTTATGTGGTGCTGAGGAATTGAACCCAGTTCCTCATGCATGCAAGGCAAGCACCCTACCACTGAGCCACATTCCCAGCCTCTTTATTTTGCACTTTTTTTTTGGTCCGGTCGTGGGACCTGAACTCTGGGCCTGGGGCGCTGTCCCTCAGCTCTTCAGCTCAAGGCTAGCGCTCTACCACTTGAGCCACAGCGCCACTTCCGGGTTTTTTCTTTTTGTTTATGTGGTGCTGAGGAATCGAACCCAGGGCCTCAGGCATACAAGGCAAGCGCTTTACCACTGAGCCACCTTCCCAGACCTTATTTTGCACTTTTGAACAACTTTTGCTCCTAAGAAGAGACCCTCAAAGGGCACCTAATAAGACAAGTCTTTGTGCTTGCTTGCAAAGAATAGGAAAAGCCCATTTCCTTTGAGGCTGTTAGGGAATGTTCATCTCTCTGTCTCTGTCTCTGTCTCTGTCTGCCTCTCTCTCTTTCTCTTTCTCTCTCTCTCTCTCTCTCTCTCTCTCTCACACACACACACACACACACACACACTTCTTTTTCTCTTTGTGACCTCTTGCCCCTTAAGCCTTTGAAGAAGGAACTAAAGACAAAGATGGCTTACCTTCTGGAGGTAGAGACCAGATAAAAGTAATAATCCTTTTGTCCAATATTCCCTGTCTAAAGAAGCAATAGCAGTCTGGGGCTAGTGGCTCTTGCCTATAATCCTAGCTAATCAGGAGGCTGAAATCAAGATTGCGGCTCAAAGCCAGCCTTGGCAGGAAAGTAAGACTGAATGTGATGGACCAGCTCGGCCAGAGCACTGGGACCGATGGGACAGGGATCTCGGGATAGGTAGGCAAGGAGTCGGAGAAGTGACATACAGACATAGACTCAAAAGAGTTGCATCTGAGTGTATCTTTATTGAGAATTAACATTTTTATACAGTGTGTGATTGTGACATAGATTCTTTGTTTAGTTAAGCACATAATCAATTTTATGAAAAGTAAAGCATTAATGGATTACATGAAAATTGATGACTATCCCACCAACTGTTTGAGCTAAGTGGTGTGAAACAAGTCTAGTATATTGTTTAATACAATGCATCATCTATTTAGCCTTTTTATGTTTAATAATTAACAAACCTAAGACAGGGCTGTACTTATATTATACTTTTTATTTTTTCCATATTTTCAAGTCCCTTTGAAACCATCCTAAAAACCACTTCCAGGTTGAGTCAGGCATTCTCTGTTTCCTATGATTTTAATCCCAGTATTTGTTCACAAAAATTTCTAATTGTGGGGCTGGGAAGTTGGCTCAGTGGTAGATCGCTTGCCTTGCATGCCTGAGGCCCTGGGTTCGATTCCTCAGCACCACATAAGCAAAAAGAAAAAAGCTGGAAGTGGTGCTGTGGCTCAAGTGGTGGAGCGCTAGCCTTGAGCTGAAGAGCTGAGGGACAGCGCCCAGGCCACGACCGGACCCAAAAAAAAAATTTCTAATCGTTATTTTAAACTATCTTATTGTTGTTTTGATAATAAACATCATAATGGTCTAGATCTACCTAATCTTTGCATAAAATCTAATGAGTACCAAGATACTCTTTTTCCTTTTACATTAATCCATCTATTTTTATCTTTATAAACTCCTGTATAAGGCAATGGTTCATCAGTCAGCTCAGGAAATCTGATGTCACTAACTTTATATTTTGTGGGAAACCACCATCTATTCCCTATAACATAAGCTAGACCAAACTTAGTCATAACTGTTGGGGGAATCTTTCTTTTCCTTTTATTATCAGGGGTCCCTTTTTCTATAACTCTCTGTGCTTCTGGGATAACTCCTTCTGGTTTAGTTTAATTCATTAATTCTGCCTGTTGTAACATATCTGAAAATTTTAAATTTCTATATTTACTATGAGTAAGCCAAAAACTGCCTGTGAAGTTGCAGGAGCTTCTGGAGGCAGCGTCACATCAGATGATAGATTGATTGGGGCATTGTCCACATCTAATCTTTGGTCCTAGTCTTTATTATTCAGAGAAGCCATCTCTATTGGACTGGAAAGAAACAACATGCTCTGTTCGCGGATCAATAGAAAAATAGCCAAAACAAGAATAAAGGCAACGAATGTACAGCCAAGAATAATATAATAATAAAGGTAGAGGCAATAAAGGTGCAGCCAAGTGTATAGGAAGCCTTGAACCAACACCCCCTTTCTGCAGGCATGCTTCCTTGAAGCTTATGCTTTGCCTGACGCCATCTCTCACGCAGACTCCGCAGGAGGGGACGTGGCATTTCTTCCCTTTTTATTTTTTAATTGAAGCTTATGAATGTCTCGGTGCACAGAAGAGACAGATCTAAAGATCAGTCGGAAAATGACTGGAAATATAAGAATTAGAAGAATTGATCCGACAATGGCAATTATAATTATTACATGAATCCAATCTAGAGGATTGAGGGCCTCCAAGTTATGCTTAAGTGACTCTGCCAAAGATAGAACATTTTTGCATATAAATGAGCTTTACTAACTGTTGTAATTTTGTGCTGTAAAGCCTCCATCAAAGTGGGCGCCACCTGCGATGGACTACCTATCCTGAGATCCCAGTCCCATCGGTCCCAGTGCTCCGGCCGAGCTGGTCCATCGCAACTCAACTCTTAAAGCGTTATCTTTGTGGCTCACAGGGTAGAAGCTCAGGGATAGCACTCAGGCCTTGCGTTCAAGCACATTCACAAAAGCAATAGTCACTCCTCATCCTGCTGTATTTGGCAATACTGAAGTTAGAGGTCAGAGCCACATCTCCAGCCCTTGCTTTGCTATGTTTTTATTCAAACCATTACCAGCAGCATTTCACATATGCATGTATGGGGCTGCCTCATTCTAGTGCTTCATCAGGCATCCTCCCCGGGCACAAGGCTTCCAGGACTCTCCTTTTATGAGTGCAGGAACTGAAGCACAGAGAACGATAAATGCTTTGCCCAGCTGGCAGAATGAGCAGCATTCCGCTGCCTCTTCCAGCTTTCCCAAACAGACAGTAACTCACAGATAGAGTGCAGCTTGGAACAAAGTTTATTTTCTAACTCTGAAACCTTAAGGAACAAGGAACTTCAGACATTAAAAGGAGAAGGAGGAAAACATGGGGTTAGAGGAAAAAAAACTGTCCTTGCTCCTGACAGCTAAGCAGCTACTGTGGAGGCTGCTGAGCCAGGAGGGAGGAGGAGAGTGTGGGAAGGCCAACCTGCTTGGTGTCTGAGCCTCCTCCACAGGTAGGAAGGGCAAGCCTGGCTGTCTGCCTGTAGGACTTTCCCATTGTGGAGGTGTCTTGGTTTGGCTTCTAATGGAAATGTCCCTCATGGTTGGGAGAGGCGCTCATGGGGTCTCTGTTGGTTAGCTCTAGTGGGGTTTGGACAGTAGGAGTCTGTGGTTACTTGTGTTTGCCATCTATGTGATGCTGCTGCTGGTGGAGGTTGGGCAGGGCCCATCTTTTGCTTGTCTGGGGGCTTGATAGACCCTTGCCTACCTCAATGGCCCAGCCCAACACTGGTAGACACACCCTGCCATGCCTGGGGGGGGGGGAAGGGAGGACCTTGTGGTGATTCCTTCATCCTGAGGAGGTGGCAGGGAGGGGATTGAAGCTGCCATGGGTCAGAATGGGGAAGATAGTTACAGAGGACTTTGTAAAATGAAGACAGGGATGGGGATGGGTAAGGCTTGCAAAGTAATGAGGTGCAGGAAGGCCAGGCGTCCCCTATGGGGGCCAGGCCATGGTAGGGAATCAGTTGGCCCCAACCTATTTGGTTTATTTTGTTCTTTTCTTGCTGGCTTTCGTGAAGGGTGGGCATCACTCCACTCTTCATAGTTTCATGTGTTAGAATGCCCAGCATTCGGTTTAGATTTGACAGTCAGTGCCACCTTTAGTTTGGAAGGACTCTGTGTGCCTTGGGTAGAGAGAAAAAAAACAAAAAACAAAAAGAGAATTTCAGTCATAACCCAGTTTTCTTTTGGTGATACTAGGATTTGAACTTGGGGCCTTGCACTTGCTAGGCTGGCATGATACTGGTGAGCTAGGCCTCCATCCCTGTTTTGTTTTGTTTTTTTCCCCTAGCCCTGTTTCTTACTGGTTGTTTTTGGTATGGAGTCTGGGTTCCTGACTAGGTGCACCCTACTTTAGTTTTCCAGTGTCACTGGGATTGCAGGAGGATGACAGGGCCTATGTGGGTGGAAAGTCAGGACATGGGACCTGCTTCTTGGATCCATTACCTGAGGCGCCTACAGTTGGCCTAGATCCAGCACCTCACTGCTCTCCAAGGCCATGGGATGTCGGGCCTGGAGTCGGGCCTGGGCACTCAGCTCTTCAGCCTGGGGCTCTGTGTGTTCCTCCCTCTCCGTGCCTGTTCCAGCTATTTCTTCAGGAGCCTGAGTCTCCTGGCTGCCTGAGCCCTCATTGATAAGGAGTTCAGGCGGAGCTACACCCTTCCGAAAGGCCTTCAGCTGCTGGAGAAGCCGGCTCTTTGCCGTACAGTCCCTGCAACATAATAAAACCAGCTGTACTTGGTGCCAACTGGAGGCCTGACCTCCTAACACTTCATCACTGGAATGGCCTGCGTGTTGGCTCAGTCACCTGACTCCAGAACTGAAGTCAAGTGGGCAGGACTCAGGTTGCCCCTGAGGACCAGGCCTGGAGTCTGGCAGTTTAGAGGATCTTCTCTGACAGGCACACAGACTTGGCAGAGCCAGGCCAAGCGGGAAGAGACCTTTGTGGCCAGATGCAGACAGAATAGCTAGCGAGTGCCTGGGGTGTGTCCTTGCTCTGAGGATGGGCTGTGGGGTTCTGCCATCTCCGTGGCTATCAGGTGGGGGCCTGTTCCACACTTCCTGATCCCAGCTGCTTCCTGACACCACCGCCCCCCCCACCCCTGCCCTGCAGTGTCTGGCCTATGCTCCAGCCTAGGCCCTGCTGCTGCAGAGTCTTATTTGCTTTCTGGCCACAGAGGGACCTGGAAGGCCATACTTCACTTCCCTCCAGCCCACCCAAGCTTGTGTTTCCTGCAGATACCGCTTTCCTCCAGCCCATTCTCTTCCCTAAATTCCCATCATGGAGGGAGCCAGAGGAAAATGGAAGAGGCATCCTGGGGAGGGAGCTGGCATATCCTAGGTAACGTCCAAGGGTCCGTGGGCTAGGCCAGGAGTGCTACACCCCACCTCAGTCTCAGACCTAGCCTGTGTCCAGCACACCAGTGTCAAGAGTCCAAGCCCCCAGGAAAGGGGACACCTCATGGTTACCATGGGCCCTGGGAGGAAGTAGGTGCCTGCTGCGCCTGGTCTCGCTGCTCTCCCATAGCTGTAGTCTCCTCTTCCTCTTCACTGTCAGAGGAGCTGTACTGGGAACTGGGGGAAGAGGACATGGCTTCTTTGGATTTGCCCCATGCCATCTGCCAGGCTCCACTGCCACCCAGGGTCAGCCTCTCTTACAGTGCTTAGCTCCTCCTTAGGCGCGGGGGGGGGGGGGGGGGGGGGGAGGGGCAGCAGTCCGCTGAAGCTTAAAGGGTGCCAGACTAACTGCCAAATGACAGGAGGAGAGTACCCAGGCACTGCTGCAGCCTTATGCAGTTTGCCTTTTGCTCCACTCCTCCTCTTAGTCTCCTCTTTCCCCCACCTCCCATGGGATATGGGTCTGGGAGTCGGGCTTGGGGACCAAGTGGGCTGAGCAGGTCCCATGCTTGACCCTTGCCCTGTTCCACCAGGTACCTCCAGAAGCCTCTCAGGGCAGCAGGCGACTCTGCCAAGCAGACATGACTGCAGGGCTGGCCCTGCTCTCTACCTTTCTGAGGACTCCTGGCTTTCTGGATCCCATGGCTTTGTCGGCCTCAGGTCCATGAAGATGGTGGGAGGCTCTGTGTTCAGCCTGCTGCCCTCATCTAGCCTCTGGCATGGCTCCGCCTGGAGGCCCAGCCTCATCACAGCATACCTGAAAGGCAGAGCATGCTGAGTCCCTTCTTTGTGAGTACTGTGACCAGTGGGGCTTGTCCACCATATGTGAACCTATCCCTGTGTGGAGATGAAAATGAAAAATCCCAGGGAAAAGCTCTGATTGGCCTGGCTGGGGGGTCACATGCCCAGGGCTGAACCTATCAGCCTTGCCAGTGGGGCAGGGTCCTATGAAAACCCTCCCACTTTGAGCAGACTGTGTAGATGGTGAAGGGAATTTCCCATAGGGCTTGGGGAAAGAGCAGGGGCTTTGCGCTCAGAGCCACACCTTCCCCTTCTGTGCAGTGGGGATATTTGCAGTGCCAGCCCTGATCAGACTTGAGCACAAGGGAGGATGTGCCCATCTGGCCACGGCTGGCAAGAAGGCCCACCTGCTTCTGGTTTCCTCTTCCTCAGTGTCTTGGGGCATGTCAGCTGGCACCTTCCGGGCAGCAGTGCAGGTCTTGGACTGTGTGGCACACAAAAGGGCCAGCTGCTCTTGGAGTCTGTCCTGGGAGCGTGGCACAGAATTCTCTGGGGATTGAGGGAGAAAGGGGACAGGTTAGTGGGGACCTGGCCCTTTTGACTCATGTCTCTCACCCACAGTAGCTCAAGTCCTAGGACCCTTTGGGGTTAGTTTTTTTTTTTGTTTTTGCCAGTCCTAGGGCTTGAACTCGGGGCCTGAGCAGTGTCCCTAATGCTTCTTTTTCTTTGGGGTTCCTTGTAGTCATGGGCCCAAGGCTTGGCTCTGTCCCCGCCCTCAGTCCTTTCTGAGGCCTCCAGGCCCAACTTGGCAAAGAAGAGTACTGTATTTATGAGCAGGCACAGACTCCTACTTGAGCTTTGTGAACTAGGGTCCCAGGCAGCCGCAATGCAAAGGGGTCATCCTGTTGACTCGCCCAACTATATTTTTACACTGTTATCTTTCTATTACTAGAGGTTTCCTTCTAGTAATACTGCTGCAGACAGAGCTGCAGACAGTTATAGCTGATTTAGACAGTCTATCGAGTACGGACTGTTTTCAGGTTTTTGTAATCTTTGTAACGTTGTGAGCATCTTGGAATGCACTTTTACCCACTAGGGTGAGTAGTATTGTTTAGGAGGTTTAGGGGAGGTTTGCAGAATGGAATAGCTTCATCAGCAGATCCTGGGCCTTTCAAATAGTGCTGGGCACCAATGGCTCATGCCTTTAATCCTAGCTACTCAGGAGACTGAGACCTTGAGGATGGTTTCAGTATGAAGCCAGCTTGAGAGGCAAAGGCCATGAGACCATCTTCAGTTAACCAGCAAAAAGCCAGACAGGGCCATGGTTCATGGTAGAGCACCAGTTCTGAGCAAGAGCATGAGGCCCTTAGTTTAAGCCCTGGTACTAGAACATGCAAAAAAAAAAAAAAAAAAAAAAAGGCCCATTTTGTGCCCTCCTCCAGTTGCGTAGTCCCCTGCGGCTCCAGGAGGGTTTGTTTCTCCATATCCTACAAATGAAATCACATGAGGAGTCTGCTGTGGGCCTGGAGGCTGGGAGCTGGCACTGCTCTTGGGTCTCAGCTTCCAGCCTGCCTCCCTTGCTCTCATTGCTGGGGACCCAAGTGGATGGAGAGATGGTGAGGTACAAACTGCCTGAAGCAGGGCCACAGCATAGTGGCTGGGATGACATCAACAACCTTCCTTCCTATTCCAGGCAGCCAAGAAGCACGAGTAGCATAAGAGCTGACTGCAAGAGCAGGAGGCAGGACCAATCAACATTCCCCCAGGGAGAAAGGATGGGAGAGGAAGGAGTCCTGAGGAGGTGAGGAGGGGGAGCAGGTGTGGGTCACGTGACAGGGGCCAGGGATGAAGGCCCTGTGTATCTCCAGGTCTTGGACAGGCCTGGCACATAGCAGGCAGCCACCTAAGCCTTGCTGGGGCTGAGCCAGCAGATGAGGTGGCTGCAAGGCTGATCGTGCCTAGCCTGTGGCCTCTGTCATGCCAGACACACAAGCAGCTGCTGGCTCCATTTGGCCTTGGTGTTTGAGACAGACCTCGGCCTTGGCAGCTTTCTGCTAACCACCATGCACTTCTGGATGCGCCATCTGTGGGGCTGTCTTCCTGGACTGGCAGACTCTTCAGGATGTAATCCAAATCCCAATCTTCCAGGTGCTGGAATAATGAGGCTGGGGTTACGAGGCTGCCACGGGGTCCTATAGGCAGGGGTAGGATTGCTGTGGGCAAGAGCGACACAGGCAGGGGTGGCACTCCACTACTGTTGGGGCGGATGGAGCCGTCATGGGTGGTGTAGAGGAGGAATCAGGTTAAGTGCAGGCCTGCAAATGGATGCACTGGCCCTTGGGATTGAGTGTAGTCTGGGCCTTTTGTTTGCACCAGGACTAGCAATTCTCAACTCCTCTTTTTTTTTTGGGGGGGGGGGGGAAGGAGGAGGGTAATGCTTGGTTATAAAGATGTCTGACCTGGAGGAAACCCTGTGCCATTTTAAGTGTCTAAGATATACTGGTTCAAAATGTTTGCTATTTTTAAAAAAAGTTTTGTGCTTTTAAGAAAAAACAGGGCTGGCAAAAATAAAACAAAAAGAAAAGACAGACATTTGTGGTAAAGGTTTCAACTAGAGGCAGGCAGTTATCCTAGAATGAATGTTTTTTTTCTCTTGGTGGTGCTGTGATTGGAATCCAGGACTTGCAAGGGCTCCACCTCATTCAAAATGAATGTTTCCTCTACCTGGTCTTCTTGCAGCTTCTAGATGAGGAAAACAAACGTTGTCAGGGATGAGCAGAAAAGAAAGGATGGCTTGTTTAAAAGTAATGAACAACAAAACACAAACTAGGCACTGGTGGACTGTACTCCCCGCTCCTCAGGAGGAGTTCAAGGCCAACTTAGGCAAAAAGATCTCCAAGATTCCATATGCAAAATAACCAGCAAAAGGCAGGCTGGGGGTATAGTTCAAGTGTTAGAGCACCAGCCAGGAGCAAGTAAGCTAAGGGAGAGCTTAAAGTCCTGGGTTCAAACATCAGTACAACCACCAAAAAAAAAAAAAAAAAAGTAATGAGAAAGATTTGTAGGGCTGGGAAGGTGGCTCACTGGTAGAGTGCTCGCCTGGCATGCATGAAGCCCTGGCTTCGATTCCTCAGTACCACATACACAGAAAAAGCCGGAAGTGGTACTGTGGCTGAAGTGGTAGAGTGCTAGCTTAGGGACAGTGTGCAGGCCCCGAGTTCAAGCTCTAGGACTGGAAAAAAAAAAAAAAAAAAAGATTTGTAGGTAGATACTGGTGCCACTTTCCTGTACGTTGTTAAGCAAAATGTTTGTGTGGCCTTTGCATGCCAGGCTGCAGTGACTTGCATGGTCCCTCTGCAAAAAACTGCACAACCTACTAGGGCCAGAGCCGCCCTCCTCTCCACCGGTAGAATGGGAGGTGGATGGCAGTGGGAATGGTGACCCTGTGGACCCCGGAAGTGCTGCGTGACACACCTATCTTCTCTCCCCACACCCTCCTCTTCCAGAGTGTTCTGCAGAATCTTCTCATCCTGCCAGACAAGTGTTGTCACGCACTTCCTTCCTTCATGAATGTTCCGGATCCAACCTGAACAGATGTGCTCCTGTAGGGTGTGGGCATTCCAGTGGGGGAATTTCACTTTGGCACTGTCTGCTTCTATGTTTTACCCAGGACTACTTAGAAACCTGTGCTTGGCATGAGCACTCTGCTTTCCCTCCAGGGAAAGCTGGAGTCTCTTAGCCCCCAGGCCCCCACCTGCTGGGACAGGCATGGTTGCTTGCCCAGATGATGGTCCTTGAACCCTCAAGCTGGCCTCAGGACCAGCTGCTTCCAGGCCCCACTGGCTGGGGGGGGGCAGACAGCGGAGGTGCCTACCTGGAGGGAGAGCACAAGCTGTCCTTCTTGGGGCTCTGCTGAGGAGGCCTGTGGCCTGGGTTCTGGCTCCTGGGCCTGGCCTTGATTGGGTGGGTCCTGAGTGCCCCAGGTCACTTTCTGGAGCACCTCCTTCTCTATCATTTTCCTCCTTTCCAGGCGGAGGGCTCTGCGCTTCGCAGAGTCTTTCCATACATCCTCATCCCGGGGTTCTGCCTTTGGCTTTCCTTCAGGAGAGAGGGTAGCTTCTCCCTGAGGGCCACAGGAAGAACTCTGGGATGCTTTGGAGTTGAAGGAAAAGCTTCCAAGGTCACCTTCCAGCCACGAGGAGGTCTCAGCCATTCGAAGGAGGGTGCTGGTGTCAGCGCAGCCTTGGGACGGCTGGCCAGGACCTCTTCCTTCCCGAAGTGCTGAGTCCCACATCCTCTGTCCACTCCTGGGTTCAGTGGAGGGTCCCCCAGGCACCAAAACTGGCTATTGAGAAAACAGACAAACTCTGTTAGCATTTGTAAGAATGTATTTTTAGGGACTTTCTTTCGTAGAAAATAAGAACATTTCCTCAGAAGAATTGCTAAAATTCCTGTAGAAATGAAAACCCAGAGTTACAGGGAAATTGTACCACCTGAATTGTTGGCACAATTGGTCACTGCTTTGCAATTGCCTCCTGTGCTTCTTTGGCCTACCTTGGGCCATTTGGCCATGTGTGGTGGTGATGGGCCAGAAGATCAGGTCCAGCCACACCCACCCACGCACCTGTAGTGAGGCTAGGTAGAGTTAGGCCATGGGAGATCAACTTGGGGCCAGGAAACTCCTGAAGCCCTCCCTCCGCTAGACCTTTCTGATGTTTTCAGATTGTTAACCACAGCCACATCAAATCCCCAACAGGTCTGACCAGTTGGGGCTGCCCATAGATGAATGTTTATAGCCAATTCTATTTATAAGAGCAGCAGTTTCCAGGCACTGTCCTGGGAGGCTTGCACTGTGGCCATTCCTGCTGCCTCCTGCATCACCAGCATTTGTGAGGCACTCTTTCTCCCTCTGACTCTCCAATCATCAAAGGATTAGGGGGCTCCGTGAAGCCAGAGGAGTTTGGAAGCTGTGTCAATGGCTGGATAGTACAGAGTGCCTTGGAAGGAAACAGTACAAGTCTAAGGACCAATAGGGGGCGCATCAAGTATGCTGGGTGACCTGGGGAAGGCGGCATGAGTGCTCAGGTGTTGGGCACCTGAACACCTGGGATGGCCCTGGAGGCGTGAGGACTAAGGTGCTTCTAGCAGCAGTTTTAGCTGTTTGAACCCCACTGCCCTAATAATCCCTGAAAGCCATGGTCGCACACACATACACACACATGTACATGCATGATCTGCCCCCATGGTGCGTCTTAGCGAGTCCTCAAACCCTGTGTCCCTCGGACCTTAGATGGAGACCTTTTAACTGCAGGCCCCCAGGTCCTAGGCTCGCTAGCATCAGCAGGATCTTCAGCAAGCTCCTCAGCCAGGTCTGGAATCAGAATGGGCTGGTTTCGCTGGAAGATGTAGGGCTCCTCTTCCCTGTCGTCAGACTGTGGACAGACCAGAGGTTTGGGGTGGTAAGGCAGCATGGGTGACCAGCTCTCCCAGGGGGAGATCTCTCTAGAGGGATCTGGATCTCTTCCTACTGGCCTTGCCTTGAGCTGCCGCCTGACACCTGTTTAGAAATGAGCTTGGCAGCACCCACTTGTGGGGATGAGATCCAGAGCTCCCTCTCTAGCAGAGGTGCTGCAGTCCTGCCTGATGCAGAGTAATGGCAGGGCAGGGGTCACTGAGAGCAGCCTCCTACCATAACTTGGTTTGCCACATCTGAAGGACAGAGACTGATACCCCCCCCCCCCCAACTACCTTACAGGATTGATCAGAAGCCAGAAGATTGATCAGTGCTCCCAGCTCTGGAGCTCTGAGACTGAACTATCCACTCTTTGATTCCTGAGGTTGTGCTAGGAGTCTTGTCAAGTTCAGCTTTGCAGAGGTCCAGGTAGGACCCAAATTTTGCTTCTTCTAACTTTCCCTAAATGCCCAGTGCCAATCTGGGTACTGAAGCCCCTGCCCGTGGCTCATTAGCAGCATCCCTTTCTAGTCTTATGTGCATATGGCTACTGGTGCTGATCCCAAACCAACCCTAGGGGGAGAAGCCCTCCAGGGGTTTATCACTGTGCATTGGGAAGGTCACAAATGGTGCTGTAAGTGGTGGTGCTGGTCCACTCTGCTGTGGCAGAGCCTTTACCAGAGAACCCACGTGGGACTCAGGTGCGGGGGTGGGGGGTGGGGTGGGGGGGAGGGGGCCAGGAGCACCAATGGAGTGGCCTTGAAGATTCCAGGCACCATTCAAGTACTTGAGTTTTGGATGGATGGAGGGAAGGAACGAACCAAGGAACCTTTGAATTGGGTGCGTGGCTGAAAGTAAAGCAAAGGCATGCTCCAGTGGTGGGCTGGTGGGCTGTGAGGAGGATCACTCTAAGGCTGGCCCTGGCCACCCTTGGACCTTTCATGGTATGAAAGGCCAGTCAGCGTCCAGGAGGAAGCTTGCTCACCAAAGACGAGTCTGAGTCCAGAGATGGAAGCTGATCTTTGGCAGCCTTGAGGATGGCATCCCAGGGGGAGCCCAGGGAGGGCACATCTTTGTCTTTGGATTCCATGGAGACCAGGCTCACAGGATGCCATCTTTGTATGCCATCATCTGAGGAGCTCTGTGGAGAACACGTGGTCAAGGTGACCAACATCAAGAGATGAGGGGCTGCCTTTCTAAAACTCCAACCAGCTACAGGCAAAAAGACTTTACAGCCACCTCTCATCCATTCCTGTGGTTCTGTACTTCTTTGTTACTAGGAACTCAGCTGTATGTGTGAGCAGACCTGCATATGTATATACATATATTTACATCATATATATGTGCATACATGAGATATGTTTAGGGATATATGTATGTATCATAGATAGACATAGATAAGAGCCGGGAACTTGTAATCTTAACTACTTAGGAGGCTGAGATCTGAGGATGGCAGTTTAAGGCCAGGAAAGTCTTTCCTGCCCATGAGACTCTATCTCCACTAAACTACCAAAAGAAAAAAAAAAAGCCAGAAGTGGACCTGTGCTTCAAGTGATAGAGTGCTAGCCTTGAGCAAAAACATCTCAAGGGAGCTCAAGCCCCAGTACCAGCAAAATAAACCCACAAAAACCCCACAATGAGCATTCAGTATGAACAGTCTATGTATTTGATGTTTAGATATGACATATGGTATGAAATATATGATATGTAATACGTATGCACATAGATATGTATGTATTCATATAACATGGATGCTGTTATCTCCATTTATAGTAGATGGCAAGGAATTTAAATCAGTGAGGAAGAGGGATGGATGGGTGTCGTAGCTCAATACTAGAGACCTTGGCTAGCATGTTTAAGGCTTTGAGTTCAATCCTAACACCCCCTCCCAAAAAAAGGGGGAGATTTTGAGCCCAGTTACCCTTTTCTGTCCTAAAGGAACAGACTAGAGACATTTTGGAGTCCCAACACACTTCGCTTGAGTCACACTCAGATTAGCCCCACAATCACAGGTGCCACCCTTTGAGAAGAGGAGACCACAGGCCCGCGGGGCAGAGGGGTCCAGCAATGGGAGGGGAAGGTGTGTGCCTCTGAAGTGGTCCGGCGGCTGCCGGGGTCCGACGCTCCGCGGGGCTGGCTTCTCCCTGACGCTGGGCTCAGCGGGCCGCTGCGGGGGCGCCGCTCGCACCGGGCGGGCTGGGGAGGCCTGGCCTCTGCTCGGCCGGCCGTTCGGGGCACCGTACCTGCCGGGGCGGCAGGATCGCCCAGGTGCGGCTGGCCGCGGCGCGGGCGTGCTCAGGGGGTCAGAAATGCCCACAGCACGCCGACGGCGAGAACGGGCCGGCCGGGCCCACCCGAGGGCTGCGGAGCCCGCCGCGTCCCGTGGGCGTTTCTCCCTGGCAGCCCGTTGGCCCCGCCTGCCGCCGCGCGGCGCCGTCGTCATGGCGACCGGACGCCTCCGGCCCGCGGCGAACGCTCGAATGCTAAGACTTGGGTCGCCGAAAGCCCGGACCCCGCCTCCCCCCGCAGCTCGAAGGGTCCGTTTCCGTGGCCGCTCAGGCACTGCCTTTCGCCTCGGCCCGGCCCCTGGACACCCGCCCTCCGGCGCGCTTCCCACCCGGCCACACCGTACCGGCCCGCCGCGCGGCCCGCCCTCTGCAGGCCGTCACCGCGCCCCGCCCCGCCCAGCCCAGGTCGCTCCACCTCGGGGATGGGCGGGGCCCACCTTTAGGGCAGGATTGGTTCCCGGGCGCCGAGGGGGCGGGGCTGGGATAGCTGCCCGTTCATTGGCTGTTAAGGAGGTAGGCGGATAACCGGAAGTGCTGGGCGTCCGGAGAACCAGTCCTACAACCTCTATCCGTTTGTGTCGGGGCGTGTTCCTCACGCTCTCGATAGCACTTCCGGGGCGGGGCGAGCCGGGCAGCGGGCTGAGCGCGCGGCAGCAACCCGTGAGGGAGCGCGGCGGCGTCCGCGGCCCGAGATTTACTGGAGGAGGCCGGAGGTCCGCGCAGGTAGGCTGGGCGGCGGCCCGGCCCCGCCGACGCCGGGCCCTGGAGGAACGGGGCTGGACGCTTGGGCTTTCGGCCCTCCCCCGCCAGCGCAGGGCGAGCTGACGCGGGGCCGGGGGCCGAGGGCGCCGGACTGCAGGTGTGGGGGCTCCGCGGGGGCGGGGTCCCCTCCGCGGGACGGCCTCCTGTGGGCGGGGCGGCGGCCACCGGCCTAGGGTTGTGCGGTGTCTCCAGTTAACTTTTGACTTTGAAGGCACAGCGTCTAACCAAGTGGACTGGAAGTTCCAAGGTCCCATCTCCAG